CGCATCGGCTGTACTATTAATGTCGGCCTTAACACACACTAGGACCTCTTTGTATTTCCTAAAACTCTTAGGATCGGACTCGCTAAGCTTGCAGCGACGGAAGATACGCTAAGCTATAGGCTACGGCAATCCCTAGAGGAGCAGCCTTGTTCTCTAAGAGTTTTCGAGGTTACTCTATTCGATGCTATCCGCTAACTCGATAAACTCGCGGATATACCCCTTTAGGTCGTTATCCTTAGTGCGCCTTACTAAGTAGAGGGACTCGAGCTACGCACGACTACCTTTAATACGACGGCTATCGCGCTCCCGATACTCCCTTATAAAGGCTATCTTAAAGGTCTCCTAGTTGGTATCGGACTTGTCGTCCCTTTCTAGGTAGCTAACTAGGGTTTTAAGGGTTTAGTAAAGCTTAGAGGAGGTAGTCCTCGTAAAGGACCGAATCTTGTACTAGTCGGATTCTCTATCGAGCTCGTAATCAACTAAGCCTTCCTTAAAGCGCTCAATATGTGCTATAGCGTTCTACCCTTCAAATAGGGGATTTGTAGTGCTCCCTAGTTCTAGCGGGCGACGCTTACTTTAACGGAGAAGTTCAGTTTGCTTCTCTATTATCTTTATAATAATATTGTAGAGCGCCTCTAGCGTAGAGGGCGCAGGAGGCTTACTTATATTGACTAGTCGCTGCCTAATTTCTTCGTTGATAGGATTAGGGGCGTTTTCGGATTTAGAGGATTCCGCTAATTCTCGATGTTCGTTTTCGCTAGAGCTAGAGCTTATTCGATTGTTGTAAAATAGTTGAAATAGCTAAAATAGAATGCTATATAAAGTTGAAATGGAATGCTGTATGAATGTATTTTTAGTGTCTGTTTGGTTTGTTGTAATGTTGCTATACGAGAGAGTAGTGTATTAGGCGGTTTCTCCTAGTATTACCCCCGGGGTATTATTAGGATTTGGCCTCCTAGGGGTCGCCTAACTACCTCTAGGAGCTTAGTTTAGTAGATTTTGGACAAAAGCCGCTCGGAGGGAGAGACTACAATCTCTATTTATACCTAGATCCTAGAAACTAGCTCGTATCTCCTTTAGCTAGGCGGGGGGGGCGGTGGCCTTCTTTTTCTAGTAGAAGGCTAAGCACTGTCTAAGCGAGGCTGCGAATCTAGGATCGCCCTACCCGATTAATAGGGGGCTCCCCGGCTATCCGACCTGCAAGCCGTATTTGCTATTAATTGATGGTCTTAGCAAACTAAGCAAGGCCGATAGGTAATTAGTCTATCTCCTCCTTAGGCGGGGCTTATCTCGAGCAAGCGGTACTAAATAGGTCTTCGACCCGGAGCCGAGTCCTTAGAAGCTAGCTATAGCTATAGACTAGGCCCTAAGCTGTAACAGTCCTAAGGGTTTGCAGCTTTTCGGGGTTAAAGCGATGCCCTCGTTAAGAGGTTTCTCTGCTTGTCGTAATAGCCCCTTAAGATACTTCGGTATCGTCCGTATCGTAGGCTCTTATCGTACCCTCGCTTTAGTTATAGCTATTCGTGCCTAGAGACTACCTTCAACATACCCGAACCTGTTAGATATAAAGAGATAGCCCTACCTTCGGCTCTAATAAAGGACGGAAACTAAAACCACTACTACCACCTATAGTAATAGTATAGGCTACCGAGGGTAACATAACCTATAGCAATATAGGCAGCTATGTTTAGCATAATAGGATAACAAGACGGTTGCTTAGGCTGATAACTAGAGCCCTACAATATAGGCATTATAGAAGTGTGACATAAACAATGTGCTATACGAGGTTGGTGCTCTATCTACAATACAGAAGGAGGCCTCTTATGTAGGCTCAAAACTCAGCCTAGGTATGTAGGGCCGGTTACCAGCTAATACTAGTTGTTACAAACAAGGTCCGATTAAGAAGGTCTTCTAACCTAAGAGGCGCGAGTTAAGGCTAGTTAAATATAGCGCTAGTGCTAGCCGCTATTTGCCTAACAACTTAGAAGACAAGGCTCTATTGAAAGTGTTCAAATTAGCTAATTTAATAGGTAGCAACGAGTCTATACTGTCTATTAGTAATCTATATCCTTACTTCGCTACTACTATACCTTCGAAGCTACTACGCCGGAAGAAGGCCGCTCGGTTTAAACTAGTAGATACGTTGCTATTAGACTAACGAGTATTGCTAGAAGATAGCAATTAGGCTTAGTTATCTATAAAGGACAAGGGTATAGAAGAAGCTACTTTTAATAGAAGTTGTCGCTATAGCTAGTAGTTGTCCTTCTTCGAGAATAACGACTCGCTAATTAGTATAGAAGTGGACGACCGAGCGCTGTCTAATAAGGAAGACTTATTAGACTCGTAGTACTATAGGACCTTATTTCTATTAAGAATAAGGCTAAAGGACCTTGCCTTACTTGCTAAGGAGATATAGAGGCAACGCACGGCCGAAGACCTTATTAAAGAAGAGTCTAATAGCGACAATAAGGTGTTATATACACAGTCTATAGGTCTTGGCTCTTAGTCGCAGCTATACGAGATAGAAGGGGAGATAGGGTTAGGTTAGGTACTAGATCTATTACTCGAGGAGGATACGGAGCTGCCGGAAGTGTTAGATAATGATTAATAGGCCTTATAACTACGTTATTTAATGCTTCTTAATATATAGATATACTACTAGAACGAGCTAATCTCTCGTGTTAGTATAGGAAGTAGAAAGTAGTAGATTTATGCCTACTACGCCCGCTAAAGCCGCATATACCGACTTTCTACGTATCTACTAAACACTAGCTATATTAACACTATATAGATATATACGATATACAGTCTCAATCTACTTACTCCGGGCTTTTATATAATATAAAAATCATATATATACGATATATAGTTGTCTTATAAATAGGGGGTAAAGGGTCGACTCGGTAGGCTATAAAGCCGACCTAAAAGCGACTTTATACTACTATATAATAATACCCTTACTATATACAATTACAGAACGCTCTAGCACCGTTAGAATAACCTAGAATCGGGCAGATACTAAGATAACTATATAAAATGACTGCCTGCACGATCTGTAGGCATTTTATAGATAGGTGTTAGTTCTAGGGCTAGTTTTACAGATAGGTGTGGACTGCTTACGGAGTGAGCGGCGTTTGCCTCCAATTCAGCTGCGGATAAGTTGTGATTGCTTATCATTATGCTTTTACGTTCGACGCCCTTGCTGTTGCTAGTAGATCTAAGGCCCTTGTCGCTCCCTTAGATGCGTAATAGGTACTAGCGCAGTGCGTGCAGGCTCGCTGGTCTTACGGCCGTTTGCTTCCCTTGCAGAGCCCTGCGAGCTGAACTTGATCAACATTGCAGGAAAGCCTCTATTAGCCTCGTCGCAGGATGCGGAATCTCATTTAGTAGAAGTCCTGCACTATAATCTATCGACTCTTGCTTGTCTAGATCGAAGCTCTATTCTACTAAAAAAGAAACTCTACAAATACTACCTCCTTCCTATACCCTTTATAGTAGCTTAATAAAGAGCCTAAAAATAAATATCGCAACATTTAGTTAGGTCTATCTCTGTAGGTATATATTTCTGTTAAAAGTCATATTAGAGTTATATCTAGCTACAATTTAAGTAGGGTAATGTATTTATATAACGAAGACTATATTTTTAAAAATTTAACCACTCGGTGCAAATCTTTGCGATAGAGAAAAAACAAAGATTGCAAAGTGGTTTCGGACCGGCTTCCTGTACGCAGCTGACACTCTGTCGACAATGCATCGCAACGCAGGCTTGCCGCTACGAAGAACCTGGCCTGGAAGGTGAAGTCTTGCCCTTAAGATCGGCGCTCTATTGCTCGCCCGGATCTAGCCTACAGTCTTGCGGCGTCTTGCACTTGATGTCGATCGAGGAAAGTTCCAGGTTGCTGTCCTGGGCGAGGACCATGTCTGTGAGCCGTCAATTGCCTGATTCGATGAGATTCTGACGGTCAGAAAACAAGGCAGTTGATCTGTTTCCAATTGCATAGTTCTATCCTATCTGGTTCAGGCCAAAAATTTTGAACCAAGAGCCTTAAACTTTCTGCCTCAAGCGCAAGGCATGAGGTTAGAAGAAGGGAACGTAGCGCGCACGCGATAATAATGACGCAGGAGGAAAAAAAAAGAGTGCGGCTGAACGCCAAAGGGTACTGTAGTATATCTAGGCCGAAAGGAGAAGCAATAAACCAATAATGCAGGAAAAGGGTGGCTTGAAGGAGAGAAGTGGTCGGATAGGAAAATCCGGCAATTGATCTCATTCCAACTGCCGTGCTGCTCTCTCTCTCGTACAAGGAGAAATGCCATACGAGCTTCCCTTCCCATCAAGCAAGCAAGCAAGCCTCGGCCCTCACAGAATTTTCCAAGCATCCTATCGACCGGGCTTCACGTTTGGTTGACTTTCTTCTCCGGTCGTCCCAGCCAGATATGGAAGGGCAGGGCCTTGTGCCACTCATGTCGCTTCCCAGCTCTTTGAAACGCTAGCAAAGTGCACAAAAGCCGTTGGATCATGGATCTAATGAAGTCACAACCTGTTCTGCCAGATCGGCCACAATTCCTTCCTACACCGGTTCCCATCTCCGAGCTGGCGCTCCACTTCATCAGGCAGAATCAGACCGCTCCAAAATCCCGAGAATTCCCAGAGCCCGCGTGAGACATTGAGAGCTCGATTATTGCATCTGCCGGTCTGGTGAAGTAGTGTGCTGCTTCGGAGACAGACCCGACATGTCTGGCCAACTTTGATCGTGCTTTGACGCGTTTCAATTCCCCTCCATCTGCACTGTACGTTTGTGGATGGTGTTGGTGAAACTTGTGGCGTTTGCGTGGTCCAATGCTGGAGCTATCGAGTTTGGTTCGACATTGTTGCAGAAGTGCATTTATGCGGCATGGTCAGAGCCACGCTTGTCAGGCCTGATGAGTATACGAGCTGGCCACGAGGAGTCGTCGCAGTGAATATCGTTTGGTATTGCTTCATGTCCGATCACTGTCATTACTCAAGTCCATGGCTGTTCTGGGCTGGTTCCGTGCACCAAGGGGCTGACACTTCCCTCGATAGATTCTGTCCCTACGCTCTTCAAGTCGTCGGAGAATCCATGCTCGTCGATGTTGAGCGATCGGAATATACCACTCATGTTGCTTATGCCAGTACCCAAGGCGTCGGTGGGTCTCGTAGCTCTGTATTCAACAAAATCGCGAATCGTGCGGATGCTGGTTGGGTATCCTTCGTCGTTGGGAAGCCACCACCCAGTCACATCCTCCCCCCAGTGCTCGCTCATTCGACTGCGGAAGTTGCTTGGGTAGATATAGCTGTGAATATCGATTAGTACTTTGTCGCTGTGCAATGGATGTGAACGTACCCAAGCTGTTCGATGAGTGCGAACTTCCGCCGGCACCAGGTCATATAGGCAGGGTCCTTTGGAAGAAAGAGTGCCATGATTCCCAAGCTGGCCTGACAGCCCAGAACCGCTGTGTGTTGACTTGATACGCCATATTGTATCGCTTCAAACATCTTCGCCTTTTTCAGTGCGATGCTAGTCAGCTCCACTCCCGGTTCTCTGCCCATGGCAAGGCTAGTCTGGTATTTGAACATCAAATCTATGGCCCAGTGATCGATGAGGACGAAGTTCATGGTCGAAAGCTCGCCGGCATACAGGAAATCCGGTTCGCGAAAGTCGAACAAGTCATCGCTCTGCGGTTCGGGCGCGTCTGGAAAGGACTTGACAAAGCATTTCGAATCAGTGAAGGCATGCTCTAATTCTTCGCCAAAATCCGCGAATTGAGTCGACAGCTTTTGTATGCCCGTGACGAAATCCTCGTCGCTTATCGTGTTCTTGGTCTTGCCGGCAAACAGCAGCGCGACATCCGTTGCAAGTAACCGTGAAGTAGCAAAGTACTTCTCGAATCGTGCTCCCAGGTCCGTCGGCTTGTCTCGAGTCTGTCGTTCGTAGAATTCTGCAGATGCTGCGAACCACTCACGGCTCAGCTGCGTCTCTCCTCCTGCCATGATACCGGCAAAGAGATCGAAACGGATGTACCAGGTAATGATCTTACGCCGTGTTTCGTCCTGCATGATTGTTTGTGGAGTAAATAGATCTGTCAAAATCGAAGAAGCGGCTTTTTGGTGTCCCAGCAGATTCACCCAGTCTCCTAGAAACTCCTGCCGCATTATCAGCATGTCGCACGTACTCATGGCATGCAAGTTCATACCTCGATCGTAGCCAGCTGAAGAATGGATAAGAGTGTGGCTACACTATGCCGCTGCCGTTTCAGCGATTGTTGAAGGAATGCGATGGACTTGTTGTAGTATGACAGAAACACAGATATGTTGCCATCATCGTGTGCAATAGAGTGATGGTATGCCGCGAAAGCGACGATTGCATACAGCAGTGCTGCACTGCCATCGTTCATCGCAATCTCCAGGAACGTCGTTTTGAGAAAGTCACCCCCATCATACTTGAAGGCGTAATGGTGGTGCGACATATGCTCGTGGTGGAAACGAAGGTAGGTTTGCACTTCTTTTGGTAGACCTGCCCAACGTGGATTTTGAAATATCTCCGATCTCATCGATTGTCTGGAGCTGTTGCGTTGAGCCTGCGGCCTTCTCGAGGCAGAAGCCATATCTCGTGGCGGAGGGCTTGCGTTAGGTGCCTTTTGAGAATCTGAAGCAGAGGAGGCAGGTACGCTGTCATTGTCTTCCTCGTCGGGAATGCTCGGGAGAACCTCCTTCTCGTCGAAATCGTCCTCGCTTCCCGAGAGACTTGAAGCACCTGGTGAGTCCTTCAACCGACTGCTGTTCTTGGATGATTTTGACGTTGTTATGGGTGTCGCTGCGCTGCCTGGATAGGTGCACTCTCGCTTGCCCTTTCGACATCCTGCGACAGGAGTCAGCGATGATGGAGCGACGCATAAAGAACAATCACGTACTGTCGCATGTCGGATGCGTTTCGTCGCACTACAAAACGCGGGATCAGTCAAGTGCCTGTTGACATTGCGAAGGCACTCTCACCTTCACTCTCCGTTGTCGACAGGTATAACATCCGCTCCTCGTACGCCGGTGCTTCACATGTTCTGCGCCTTGCGGTTGCCTTCGCCGAGCTCGTGGTGGTGCTTGAGGTGGAAGCATTGTCCGGTTTGGGTCGTCATAATCCGAGTAACTACCAAGACTTTCCATGGACATAGTTTGGATCTGCTGCAATCTCTGTGGTTGTTGCAGGGCTTCGGGCGGCATCATTGGAGGGTAGGCAGAGGGATAATATGCTCCAAGTGGTGGTATCGCTGGTGGGTACTGGCCTTCCATATCGAATAGTGTTTCGCCGGTTCGATGGCAATATATTGGCGTGTATCGAAGTCATTCAGTCCGGCAACGTCCGTTTAGATGTCAATTGTCACGTCGTCAACCAAAGTGGAGGCGTTGGCAAGGGTCACGATAAAGCGTCTCGACGAAGGTTGCACGGAAGGCAGCAAATGTCAGCAAGTCGTGGCGGCAGGCTTCGACGGGGAATTTGTGGAGTCGTTGGTCTTCGATTGTTCGAGCGTGTAGCACTTGCGGCGATGATATGAAACTCGATACACTGACATTGGACAGTCGATAGCATGTTCATATGACTAGGCCGTGATCGACGACTACTCGGTAGGGAAGGGCATTCGCCGCCAACCAGTATTCACCCCTTTGCAGGCCAGAAGATGCAGCTGTTCGCTCGCGTGCAATCAGGGTAACGTGGTGGTAGCAAGGGCGCGGCGGGGCGGGGCGGTACTCAATCGGAGCTTCTGCCTTTTCGAACAGCATGAACAGATCGACGCCGGGAGTTGTGGGTGAGCATGTGTGCTTGGACTGCGGGTGGACTTGTACGCAGCAACGGTCTCTCACCGCGCAGCAACTGTCTCATGCATGTTGTTGCTGGATGAGCAGTGCATCTTCTTGGAATGGCCCGCTGATGCACGGAGGACAGTTGGTGCATCCTTCGCTTCGGGAATTTCTTGTCTCCCAGGCGTGCCGTCCCCGCTCACATGCGTGGAAGCGCGCATGTTTCACGCCTGCGTTAGCATATTTTCTTGCCTAGAAGAGCACCAAGGAAGAATTGCACTAGGGAATCAGATTGGCAGGCGTAAAAGCCGTATACTGTAGAACGGCCCTTACCGCCATGCCATTCCAAGGACAGCCGCCATGCGAGACAATACAATAGCGTTGGGAACGGCATAGCGTAGGGAAGCGTACATTCGGCGTGGTCGTGCTTCGTTCTTCGTTCTTCAGGATATCCGCCACCCAGGAGTTTGCCGCGCCGCCTATATCTCGGGGTGAGATGATTCCTGCTTGTATGTACCTGTGCCTTGTTTCCTTTCGGTGCCGAGGAGATTCGAATCATGCATCTCACACTCACACCGGACGCTTGCATGGTCGCTGGAGCAGAGACAACACGCTTGGCCCAGAGCTGAAGCCAGTGGCCATCATATGTACTACTACTGCATCAAGTAACCGGGAACCCATGTCGTCGGAGGCACGTGGGCTCAAGGATTGCTGCTGCGGGTTACATATGCACATACATATTACCAGCAGCGTCAGGAGGATACGGGATGCTCTCAGACGGAACGGATACCAGGGATGTACATAGGTATTCCAGAAGACTTGCCTGCCACTGCATGTGCACGACTCCATCGTGTGCCCTACGAGCCGCCGTGGATGTGGATGCTGTTCACCGTACAAAGGACTGTAGGCTACGGCGCGCAGGAGTCGAAGACGCAATACCGAGCCTCGCGTCGTACCGCACTTTGTCCCATGATCGGCACATCCTTTCCTTGGCAGCACATGGCTTCCGCACGCCACAAGCCTGAGAGGAACCTCACATGGCTGGATGGATTGGAAGGAAGAAGCACATGGTATGCACCTCTCGCTGCGTACATTAATAATTCGCTAGGCAGCTGGCATGATTTTCGCATTCAAACTGGCTAGTGATGAGACAGGAGTGCAGCGACGGCGCATCATGCACCGACCTTCACATTCATTGCTGCACACAGCACAGACCAACACTTTATGCGAAAGTGCGAAAGTGCGAACTCGCCAGACAGACAGCAGTGGAGTCTTGGTATGGCTTGAAAATGATTATCAGCTTTGCTTTGGCCGTCCTCGAATGGCTGCCTTGGCTATCAAGCATCAACAGACCGGTCGTGGAACACACAAGCTTAATAATTAGTTTCACTCATCATGCCATTTCCATATGCCGCGTTGACGTACGTATGCGCAGACAGAGGTCGGTCAAGCCAAATGCAGAAGTATGCCCGAACGAAATCTTCACCAAGTTGTCACCACGAATACCAGCTTCCTCCGCCCCGCAGAACACGTCCCGAACTGCGCCCGAGTCGGCGTTCCTGGTAGAAGGCTAGGAAAGAAGTCTTCACGCAGCCAGCATCACATAAATAACGTTATTACGCAAGGGGTAGAGTCTTAGGAGCTTAAACGGGGGTGTCGTAACAATACGAGTCCTATAATAACGAGCAACCGGAGGCTTTTATTAAGACACGCATCCCTTTAAGGCCCTATATACTTCTATAGATTGTAGATTGTAGATTATAGGTTAATAACCTGTCGCTATAATCTGTAGATTACGCGGTTATTAAGTAAACGGTTTTATAGTAGATTGTAGGTTATTACGGCTCTATTAGGTTATTAGTCTTAGCTCTTCTACGGACGTGTCCTATCGCGTTACTAGCACTATAGATTGCCTTGTCTATCTCTTATTTATTTAATTCAAGCTCTTATAATAGCTCCGAAGCGTAAACGTCGTCTAGCGAAGAAGAATAAAGCCTCGGAGGCGACGAAGTATCTAGAGCTTAAGCGCTATACGAATAAGCACCTCTAGTTCTATCTCGACTAGTTAATTAAAATTAAGGCGAAGTAGACCGATAGTAGAAACTTCTAGTTAAAGGACCTCCGGCCTATTACGGCGATAATAAGTAAGAAGTTTTAGCTCTAGTTTAAAGACATAGCTCTTAAGAATAAATAGGCTATAATAAAGCGAGAATAGGGTTTCTAGGTTATCTATTTAACTTATATTAGCGGCTAGAATAGACAGCCTCCTCGAGGGACTACCGAAGCTAAAGATACTTATAATAAGGCATATCTAGAGTATACTATCTTTCTCGAGTAGGAGCCGGCGTAGAAGATAGAAATAGAGGCGCTCGTAGGCGTAGATATTACGACAGGTAATAGCGCTAAGACGGCGGCTTCGTTAGCGGAAGATAAGCTAACTAATACGATAGGCAGTTAAGGGTCGGACGAAGAGGATAAGGACTCGAGCGATAGTAGTAGCGACGGCGGCGAAGAATCTAAGGACAACGATTAGCTAAGCGAGTACGAACGACAAGTAAAGCGCGTAGCGAAGAAGCAGAAAATAAATAAGAAGAAGTCTCTAAAGGCGAAGGCGGAAGGCAAGCGTATCTACTGCCGCTAGACAGCCGAGGCTACTACTAATAAGGATATTATTACGAAGGCGTTTAATCCGCTAAAGGATATACTAGCTAATTTCCTTTACAAGTCTAACGCTAGGTCTTCTATACTAACACTACGAGTTAAGGATCCTTTAGAGCTAGTATATAAGCGGCTGTTTAATCCGGAAGTGCTAAAGGAGTAGCCGTTTGCTATAAAGAACAATATAGCGAAGGAGGTTAGAAAGGTGCTATACCGCGCAAATATTGCTATCTTAATAATACGACCTAAACGGCAAGCGGACTTCGAAGCCTTCTTCGTAGAGCTTTAAAACGAGGTTAATAGCATACCTCGACTATAGGGATAGTATCTAGATATACCTGTATATAGCTAGCCGTCGCCCTTTACCCCTTTGCCTAGTTTAGGGTATCTATAGAGCTAGCGATAGGTTGTTGTTTATAGAAGAGTTAGTATAGACTAAAGGTTAGAGGTCAAATTTAGCTAATCCGAGTCCGAGTCTAATTTCTTAGTTTAGGAGGTCGGAGAGGTGCGTACTTATATATATAGTAACTCTGCATTAGTAATTAATTCGACTTTGTTAGTATTTTATTATATATCGACGAATCGTACGTAACTAGCTTTTATATAAAGTATAAGTTCTAAACTCTTTATATCCTAAACCCTACCCTGCTAAGACTGTACTAATATAACGTTAACTTACCTCGAGATATCGATATAGAGACGTAGAAAGGCAGTCTATATACCGTTGCTATAGCTAGAAGGGAAGAAACAGCGGAAACCTTACTAAAAACGCCCCCTATATCCCCTACTAGATAGCCTCCGGTAATAACTAAACTTTACCCTACTCCTATAGGCGCTAATCGAGCCGTTTCCGCTCTAAATACTCGAGATAGTCCTACTACATTTCCTCCGCTAGTTCATTACGAAACTTAATTATTACATCGTCTTTAATACTACCTTATATCTCGTTTACGGACCTATCGGGGTTTCTAATTATACTATTGCTTCTAGTAAGCTTAGGCTCGCTCTCGAGAGGCTGTCCGCTATAGCTAAGGATAAAGTTATAGAGTACGAAACAGGCTATTAAGATGCGCTTCTAATCGATAAGTTTATAACCTTAGTATAGACCTTAAGCGACGATTTCGAAGCGCTTCTTAATAATGCTAAATATCCGCTTTATATAGTTACGAAGCTACGCGTAGCGGAGGTTGAATAGCTCTTCCTTTGTCTCTAGTCGCCGAGAAGAAGCGTACTGCTTACAAAGATAATATCTTATTCTTTAGTATAGTACTAGAAGGCGCTTATCGAGTAGTAAATAGCTACCGTTAGCGAGATAATATCGACCTTTAGGTACGCTAAATCTACCGCTCTTAAAGGCGCGACCTAATACCGTTCTATCGTTTATAGAGCCTTTGTAACCGATAAACGCGTATAAGAACTTACAGTCGAAGTCGTACGCCGCTATTACATTCTACGCGATAAAATTCTTCCTATAACGCTAGGCGCTCTGTTCTTAGTATAGTATTTAAGCGTAGATATAGGTGCTATTAAGGGCGCCGAGCGCGCCTAAGAAGTACTTAAATAGAGGATCTTTTAGCTTCTCGTAGATCGAGTCCGCCTCTAGTAACGATATATATTTATCCGCTATCCTATAGAGCGCTTTGCTAACTCGCTTAATAATTAACTTAAAGGTGCTAAACGAGTGCTAATATTCCTTTCTTAGCTGCCTTATAGACAGGTTGTACGCTACGAAGTCTAAGAATATAACTACCTACTTCTCGACCGAGACCTTAATCGCGCTATATAAATCTAAATCGCCGCCTTCCTTTAGCTCCTATATTAACTTATACAGTACTAGCTATCTAAGACGTATTATATTATAACAATCCTACTCTAGACTATATAGCACTCGAAAGGTCTCCTTTATGCCTTTATTTAGCTCTATAAGGGTCTCGGTCTTACTAGATAGCTAGTACTACCGTCTACGCGTATTTCGTTAAAAGAGGGGGATCGAGGCGGCGAGGGTCGCTCCGGCGATAAGAACGACGACTGCGGCGACTTAGATAGAGTCTATATTAGATATATAATAATAGTTAGAAAGGAGAGCTACTTTAGAAGCGACGAGAAGTCTATTATTTAGGGGCTAAAAGCACCTCTCGAGGTGTTTAGCAGGTTATTCGTATATAACTGCCGCAATTAGTATCCCTAATAATCTCTTTACGATAACCTACAATCTATAATAGTCGTACGATTAAGAAGTATATAGTATTTAAGAAGCTATAGATTATAGATTATTGCTAATAATCTATAGGAAATAAGCCGATAATCTACAGAAGTATACAGGGCCTGAAAACTCGTAGGCTACGGAATTTAAACCCTTTCGAGTTAGCGCCCGCAGGCTGGCCGTACTGTCTCCGAGCGGTCTGTGAGCTCTACGGCGGGCGAAAGTTGCGAGACCCAAGAGGAGCCCCACTTTTCCACCGACCGGGCTGGTAAAGGGATGCTTTTCTCACATCATACAAGAATGGACACCTGGAGCCTACCGCATTCTAGAACGAAGCGCATCCTTGTCACCGGCCAGAAGATCAAGTCCCAGAAATTTAGAATCAAGTTCCACACCGGGCTTGGGCCATTGAAAGTAATGATTCGCGGAAGGACAGCATCTGGTCAGACCGGCTCCAGGTTGTCGACAACGTCGGTATATCTCCTGCCGCATGTTCGCGCGGGTGTCTGCTTAGCCGCGCCTTCGATCGGGCCTGCCTGTTCCGTGGCCAAAAGGCCCTTCGAATGCCTGCTGAAGATTTTGCTCCACAGGCATGAATACAGTAGTCGATGTGCCCATCTAATGCTTGCTCTCTGTCCGGTCCAGGTCCCGAACGCGAAGTCGTGCAAGCCTCCTGAACCACAAGGCTCCGTCGGCCCTTGCGCCTGGGCCCATCAGACCGGTAGCCTGTCAGCACACACGCATTGATCCTAGCAGCATTGTGCCATGATAATGATTGTCCTCTGGGATGCCTTCGCTGCAGAATGCGCCGGCCCAAGTCGTGGCCTTCGTCTTTGGATGCTATTGAATAGGTAATAATAAGTCACCCCCTTTCCACGGCTGACGCGGCTTGTTCATACCTCTTGGCTTGGTTTGTGACCCTGGCCCGCCAATATTCTCCAGCAGCTCCGAGTTCTGCTTAGCGCTCATAAGCTGCAACACGAACCCACCACAGAACTCATTTCGGTATCTGCAACGACGGTACTATGTACACCCTTCGGCGCCGTTGAGCCAGCCTTTCGGCGAGGGATCTGGTCGAAGCTGATGCCCGAGCAGCCCGACATTTCCGTTCTGTTCACACCTTGAGCAGTGGTTCCGTGCAATGGCGAAGTTCATCCATGCCGAAGACGAACCTTACGATCTCGGAGCAGCTCCCCGAAACTCTCAGATCTTGACCCGACCCCGACCTTTAGGATAACATCTTCCGAGCACCTTGCTCCTGCACGCCCCGGACTTGCGAGCACTATGTACGAGGCTTATCACATGCTATCGCCCTGCTCTACGGCCGGGTGTTCGTGCTGAGCGTTCGCTCTTACTCGCTGCCTTCTCATTCTGGAAATAGCGATCGAGATCTTCACGAACGACTCGACAAGCCGTACTCATTCGGCACGGTATTTCTCCGCAGAGTTGAGCAAGCCGTAACGGCTCAGGCCAGCACCTTTCAACAACACACGAGCCTGTCGAGGTTTCTGTCATGCCTTCATGCTTTTCACCAAGACCAATAGTGCTGTCAATAGTATGCTGTCGATCTCAGATGCGAATGGCTTGTGATTCGATGCCTCGTCGCTGTCTCGCGACTCAAGTCGAAGCGGCAATATATATCGAAGTCAACGGTACTAGCGAGCAATAGCTTTGCGTTCCGCTTGACGGTGCACTAAGATCGTAATTCGTCAGCACCATTAGACGCTGCAGAGTCCGCATCTAGTCTTATGAGTATTTGATATAGGCTATTCATGCACAATGAGGACGGATGTCTGATACTCTGTTGCCAGTTTTGCTCGGCGAGCAGGGCAGCATAGCATTCGTGAGGACTGTAAGCGAAAAAAGTAGACTGTGGCGCAGACAACGCCACACAGGTTTAAAGTTCTGCTCCACGTTCGCGAATTTCGATATTAGCTACACATTTTAACAGACACAACTAACACCACGCAGTTCTGGAGACGCAACTGACAAACACAACACCACATCGCACGCAAACATGGCAGCAGCAGCTGTACAGAACCCGCTAGGGCGCACCGACTGGGCGGAAGATGAAGAAGACTCCGGACTCACGCAAACTATTCCACCACCACAAATTACCAAGAACAAGGACGGCACAGAGACAATAGTGACGGTGTTCATCAACGAAGATGGCAAAAAGGTCAAGCGCACGCAGCGCATCCGGCGGACCGTCGTCAAGAAGCGAGAGAATCCGCGCGTCGCTGAGCGAAGAGCATGGCCAAAGATGGGCCCCGAAGCAGGCAAGCCACCAGGCCCACAAGCAGACACAACCACTCTCGGCGAGAACATCATCTTCAAGCCCGTCGTCGGCTTCAAGGCCAGTGGCGCTCAGCAGGAGAAGAACCCAGAGGAAGACAAGAAGGCAGATGCGCTGAAGAAGATGCAAATCAAGTGTCGTATCTGTCAGGGAGACCACTTCACCACCAAGTGTCCTTTCAAGGATACCATGAAGCCAGAGGGAGACGACGCAGCACCGGCGGATATGGACTCCATTGCAGGCGACACTGGAGGCGGTGGTGGAGGCATCGGTGGTAGCTACGTTCCGCCCCATCTGCGCAAGGGAGCAGGTGCGACTGGAGAGCGGATGGGAGGCAAATACGAGCGCGATGATCTTGCGACGCTCCGTGTCACGAACGTAGGTTTCAAATCTGCCCCGAAAGTGGCAACCCATAGCTGACATATTTTGTAGGTCTCCGAGTTCGCAGAAGAAGGCGACCTCCGCGACATGTTCGAGCGCTACGGTCGCGTCACACGCGTGTTCTTGGCCAAGGATCGGGAGACCGGCAGAGCGAAGGGCTTTGCGTTCGTTAGTTACGCGGATCGCTCTGATGCTGCCAGGGCGTGCGAGAAGATGGATGGATATGGTTTTGGTCACTTGATCTTGAAGGTAGAGTTTGCGAAGAAAAGCACTACTTAGACGGTAGTGGTAGTAATTGAGGCTACTGGCATGAAGCCGGCGCATCACGACAAGGTGCTAGATAGGGAATGATATACTCATTTCGGAAGCGCTTATGGACTGCACAGATTTCACACTTCACTGCTGGGTTTTGTCGACACCTTCTTGCGCGAGATAGCAATGCTCACACGTGAAGAGGCCGAGACCGAATTTGACACCCTCCCGGTCGATTGCTGGACTCCATGGAGCAGCTTAAGCACTGTGCTTTCATGTAGACGTTGACATCTCGGCTTCCTTGCAAGAACAAACTCCAGGAGGATAAGGTAACGAAGCACCGCCTGCGCATGGAAAGGAGGTGGGCGTTGGATGAGAAGAGTATATATAGAAGAGAGGCAGATAGAATCGAAGAAGATGTGAAATGGCACGCAATCCCACGTTCTGGTTCATCGAAAAGGAGCCCATTCATGTACCTCTTCACCCTCGTTTTCCAAGCTTGCTTCGACGTTGAGGGCATTGCTGTCATGTGCACGCAGTCACGAATCTGCCGCTTGCCGTTGAACTCATCCTGGCGAGACTCCAGCCCTGGATGAAGAAAGATGGCACATGCACGAGAGAATCTGCTTCCCAACTGCTTTTGTCTTCGGGTATACATAAACATAAAGCTTTCTATCACTGTTGGCCTCAAGACCTGACTTACTCAGCATCAATCTTCTCCGCCGTATCCGCAACCTCAGCAGCAACTTGGGCAGGCGCCTCCGCACCGTTCGTCGCAGGTTCGCTAACATCAATCAAATCCGCATGACTCCCACCCTCAGCCTCCAATTTCAAAACACTATCCCACTCAGGGAACATCTCCTCATCTTCGCCCGGAACACCAACCAATCTCGCGACCTTACCTTTGCCGCTCTTCTCCAGGCTGCCTTTCCATTGCTTCGTGATGTCTTGTGCTCTTGAGGGCTTGTAAGTGTGCGCTGTAAATGCGGCCTCCGCGAGACGTCCTGTCTTGATTTGGAGATCGAGACAGCCGTCCACGTCGCCGAGGAGAAGTAAGCAGTCGTATGCGATGTTGTAAAGGCCGGAGTCCTGGGCTTTCTCGGCCACCCATCTTAGGCCTTCTTCATTGAGCGAGGATGAGTAGAACATGAGTAAACTGCTCAGGTCCTTGGCGTTTCGGAAGCATTCCTCAGCGACGACGAAGTCCCAGCCGGTGAGTGCTGCGTCGCCGACAAGTTTCCACTTGTGCTCTGCGTTTGCGTCGCGTGCTAATTCGAGTGCCGTGTTGAGTTCATTGAGCGATAGTGCCAGTTCGAAGCGGTGCTCGTTGTCTGTGGATACCTCGAGAGCTTGTTCCTTGTAGCCTTGTCCTTCGAGGAACCTGGCGATCTTGGTCTTTTGGTCTTCAGGGATGTCGCCTTGTTCGAGCATTTCTAACGCACTTTCGAGCTCACCACGGAGTACAAGAGTCTGGAATTCGATGACGCTGACAGAGAGGGCGAAGGATGTGACGTTGACGTCCTTGTCACAGATGTATACTCTGCCATCTCTGGGCAGGTATCCGAGGACGTAGTAGGGCTGATCGAAGTGTGAGACCGTGTAGATTTGGTCACCGACGAGGTAATTGAGGCGGTTAGTGCTGTTGGTGTAGACGAAGCAGTCGCCAACCCATTGACCAGTGCGGACGCTAGACGAAACGTTAGTGATATGAACCGAAGGGTGTAGGCAAGCAAGCAAGCATACCTTTCGTTGATATCGCACACAACCTCGAAAGCATCTTCAACACCATCTTCGTCAACGCTGCCAGACTGCAGAGCAGCGACATACTGTTCTCGCGAGTATCGTAAGACATAATATGTGTCCTCGCAAGCCAAGCACACGAGCTCGCCAGATTCTGACCAGTAGACATTGCGAGGCTCGACCTCAATTCGGCGCACAAGCTTGCCAGTCTCCCAGTCGAAGAAGCCGACACCACCTTGACCTTTGACACCAAGCAGAACGCCGCCACTTAAGCCCTCAGCAGTGAAGCCAACATTCACAGTGCCATCTCCAGCTTTTGGCTTGAAGTTGCGGAAGATCTTCACCGAGTACTGTGATTCCCGGATAGCATAGTCCTTGTCATTCTCTTTCGATGCCCAGGCAAAGTCCAAAGCGGAGCCGAAAGCCTGGTTACGAAGGGCAAGAGCAGTGTAGATGATGTATTCTCCATCTCCACAGACTGCGACGAATCTGCCATTGGGCGAGTGGATGAGTGTTTGGGGGTATATTTCTGTGCTTCCAAGGTCTTTTGATGCGAGTGAGACGGGTTGGTTGTCCTTGAGATTCTTGTCACCACCCTTGATGACTGATGTGAGGATTTCGGAATGTCGTGCCCAGATAATCTTGCCAGATGCGTCCATGGAAACTGCCGGCTCCTCGCGACCCATCTTCACCACAACGGCACCATCGTCGAAACCCATGGCAATGCCCTGCTTGCCTCGCTGGTACGAAACACACCATGCTCGCTCCAGACCGTATGACAAAGACTGCTCGAGACGATACGTGTTCGCATGCCAGATTTTGACTGTGCCATCTTCTGAACCAGAAATGATAACTGGTAGTTCTGGGTGGTAGCATGCGAACGAGACATTCGATGTGTGTCCTTCCAGAGTCGCGATCAATGCTTTTGTGGTGTAATCCCAAATCTTGACTGTCCGATCATCTGAGGTAGTGAGGAGGTATGGCTTGTCGGATTGTGGGTAGTAGTCGACGTGGTTCACGCCTTTTGTCTCGTGTGCTTCGAGGGTGAAATTGGGAGTGCTTGATCCGAGACTCCAGATCTTGACTGTTCGATCTAGACATGCGGATGCAAATGTGTTGGTATCTTTTGGATTGATGGCCAGTCCCATGACATAGTGACTGTGTCCCTCAAAGACTTGCACACACTTCCAACCCTTCTCCCAATCCCACAGCTTGATGGTCATGTCATCGCTGGCAGTAAGCACGAAGGGCTGGGTCGGATGTACGACGATCGCTCGGATGTAGTCTGGGTGTGCTTCGAAGGAGGTGATCTTCTCGGACGTGTTGTAGTTGTATACTCGCAATTGGAAGTCATCGCTGCCACACACAATCCAGTTCTTGCGGGCGACGAATCGTCCGGCGCGCACAGGCACATCAGTCAATTCAAAGGTCTTGATAATGCTCTGTGTTTCGTAGGACCATATGTAGACGTGGCCGCTGTAGAGAGTGGTGAGGATCCATGGCTCCGAGGCGTGGAAGTCGATGCCCTTAACACGCTCACTGCGCGCAAACAGTTGGCGCTGCAAATCGAGGTTAGCCACGAACGTTGACATCTTCTCCTCCGCCATGGCATGGCTTTGTTCAGCATATACCTTTACGTCGAGCCTCATTGCGTCTGCCTGCTAATTCTGAATTGCTGTAATGCCGCTCGAAGCAAGGGACTGTCGAAGTGGAAGTGGAACAGCCCACTTGTCCCTTTCTGCCTTTCTCCCTGAACTCCTTCCCCTTCCCCTTCCCGATTCTTCCTGTATGCAGGTTCGTACAGAGCGACTCTGAGATGGAGCGGAAGAATCCGTCAAGGCAATGTAGAGGAAAAGCGTGGTGTAGAATGGCAGCAACTTCTTAACTTCTTGTTCTGTGCCCAGCTGTCCCGTCTGAGCTTCAATGTCTGCCTGAGACCCTTCCCGCGTCCGTCAGGCACGAACAGCGGATCTGCCCGCACATGGCACGTGAGACTGAAACATATCGTCATGAGGCTGAGGCTCTTCCATCCGCATTAGCGCCATTCCCTGGCCACCGCCATCACTACCACCACCTTCCAGCCACCACATCTCCTCCTTGCCGTGCACCATACCGCTCACAACAACCATCCTCCACCGCCCGAAGGTCCGGGCATTCACACAGCTGCAATTATGAAGTTTCTCAGCTTCGCCGCCTCGGCACTCCTCGCCGCAATCGTCGCTGCACACTCGACAATCGCAAAGCGCGAAGATCCACTCTCAGTACCAGGCGAGAACCCACTCCTGCACTGTGAAGATCCCAAAGACGATATCCTGGCATTGAAGAGCGTAGACCTCACCCCCAACCCACCCAAGGCGTAAGTTCCAGCTCTCATCCACTCTCTCGTGTCTTCCACTTACTCACATCTATTCCCAGTGGCAGCAAACTAGAAGTCGTCGCCTCCGGTGTCCTCGCCGACGATGTTGAAGACGGCGCCCAAGTCCATCTCACCGTGAAGTACGGCCTCATCACCATCATCCGACAGACCGCCAACCTGTGCGACACGGTCAAGAACGTCGACCTCGAATGTCCGATCAAGAAGGGTGATATCAAATTGTCTAAGGATGTGGATCTTCCCAAGGAAATCCCGCCTGGAAAATACACTGTGCTTGCGGATGTGAGGACGAAGGATGATGAGAGGATTACGTGCTTGACTGCGACTGTTCAATTCAGCAGAGGTGGAAGTATGCTGGGTGGCTTGTTTAAGCAGGAGCCGAAGCAGGATATTTAGGAGGACTGATGAAGCAACGAGGAGGTGTGATGAGAGAAGATTGCGAGCGTGCAGCATTTGATTATACCAAGCGAAGCGAAACGGCGAAGTAGGCGTCGGTCAAACCTTTCCTACCAGAATCTGTAATGTTTCTAGAGAAACTGTGCATAGCCTATCGTGAATGAATCCTAGGATACGATCATCGCCTTATTTCTTGTATCTCGTACATGCATATGGTATCTCGTCTGCCTCGCCGCATTTCCCTCCCCAGCCACCTCAACGTATCGCCCATGCCCTTGAACACCATGTCTCGCCTCTCGTTTCATGAGATGTCTGTCTACTCTCCAAACAACTTCCTAACCCTCTTCATAACACTATCCTTCTCAGGATCATACGGGTGATCTTTGCTCGGAATCTCCAACACCGAAGGAAATGCTTCTGCGAATCCGTCTACTTGTCCTCGTATTCTGTCCGCGATCTGCATGACACGAGCGTAAGCGAGTGTATCTTACCGAGCGCAATCCAGCAAGCAGACTCTTCCTTTCGAATAATTATATGGGTTCGCTGCGCTTACGGCTCGTGTCGATCGGACTTACATGTTGGTTTATTAGCAAAATCGCAATATCCTTCCTCTCTTTCGTAAAAGCCTTGAAAGCCGATTCGATTGTCGAATCTTCGGTTTTGGCGTCGACAACGAGGTAATTCTTTTGACTGTCGGGAGGTTCGGTGACGTGCTATATTCGAGCGTAAGCGAAGCTCAGCGAAGAGCATGGTTCGGCTGGACTTACGCCCACACCAGCGAGAAGGATACCGGTTACTGAGTCCTGAAGAGAAGACATTAGAAGAATTCAGGGAGGGGGGAAGGGATCGTTACTTCATCGCCTATCACTGCGAGGAATTCTCGATCTTTATACTCTGAGATTGGGGCGGCCATTGGTGGTGTTGGTGTGATGCTGCAGCTCAAATGGCGAAGCTCTGGATGCTTGCTTGATGCTGTTCCGCATTCGGGTTCGGGTTCGGCAGAACTGCCGAGATGCTATCCCACGCGTCTTCCGCCATCGCGAACCATTCAACTCCCATCTATTCCTCCATCAACTTCTCAACTCGAGATGACCACCCGTAATGGGCATCTCAGCGCTACCGCAGGCCACCGTGCGGACGCTGGGCGCGTCTCAAGTCTTGACTGACCCTGCTGCTCTTGTCAAAGAGCTGGTGGATAACGCTCTCGACGCGAACGCCACATCTATTTCGATCGAGATCAGCAACAACACTGTCGATGTCATCCAAGTCAGAGATAATGGCCATGGAGTTGCCCCTGAAGACCGATCATTAGTAGCGAGACGCTATTGCACAAGCAAGATATCTCATGACGACGATCTGAAAGACATTGGCGGCTCATCGCTAGGGTTTCGTGGTGAAGCGCTTGCGAGTGCAGCAGAGCTGAGTGGCACCTTGACCATCAGCACTCGAGTTGAGGGCGAAGCTGTCGCAGCAGCTTTGAAGATCAATCAGAAAGGCGAAGTTACAGGCCAAGACAAGGCATCTCTGCCTGTGGGCACTACTGTGCGAATCACTGACTTCACCAAGAACAATCCTGTCAGAAGGCAAGTAGTGTTGAAAAGTGCAGAGAACTGCTTGAAGAAGATCAAGCGCACCTTGCAAGCCTACGCTTTCGCTCGCTCCCATGTTCGATTATCCTTACGCGTGCTAAAGGCCAAAGACAACAAGGCCGGCTGGATATATGCACCAAAGCCGAAAGGCAATGCTGAAGACGTGGCTTTCAAGGTCGTCGGCGCTGCGTGCACTCAACAGTGCACCTGGTCCGTTCTTGAAGATTCAGGCTTCACAGTTCAAACCTTCTTGCCGCATTGCGATGCTGATGGAAGCAAGATTGCCAACCATGGAGCCTTTATCTCAGTCGACCATCGACCAGTCAATGCATCCAGAGGCACATTCAAGCAAATCTGCAAAATTTATCGCGAGAATTTGAAGAATAGCAGTCCTGCCTTGGCCGATGTCAAGGACCCATTCCTCTATCTGGAGCTCAGCTGTCCACCTGGAAGTTACGATGCAAACCTAGAGCCAAGCAAGGACGACTTGCTGTTTGAAGACTCTACTCTGATCACTGATGCTGCGAGAAAGCTCTTCTCGGCAGTATATGCAAAGGAGCTTCCTCGACATGAAGATCCTGAACAGCCCGTTGCAGAGCTTAATGCAATGCCATCCTGCAGTCTTGGTCTCGCGGCCGCTCCCGAGGCAGTAGCGCTGGACATGCCGCATAAACAGGCTAGAGTGTTGGAAGAGTCAGAAGATGAGATTGGACTGATGCGACCTGCCTCTCAGCTCATCGACGAAGAAGAATCCTCTCAGCCATCATATCGAAAGACTCGGTCAAACATGTATGGTTGTGACGAGGATGACCTAGACTTGCTGGATCAAAGGCCATCCACAGGCCGGACTGAAGACGATTTTGAAGAGCTGCGTCAGGCCAGAAAGGATGTCAATGTTTCCAATCCTTGGGTCATGGCAAAGCTGAACGCATCTGTTGGACGGCGTTTGCCCACACCAACGACATATGATCTCACGAATACTCCTCGCGATGAAACACTTCCCAATGTCCCGAGCTCTCCCATCAAGCATGGTCAGATCTATTTAGACTCCGAGATATTACCGACGCCTCGCCCTTCTTCGCCGACTCCTCCAGCGGAGACATTTCATCCTTCTGATCATGTGCCAAACTTGCGGCTGGCACGAGATGGTCGAGTCGTGCAATCTTCCGCCTTGCCGGAACCGCAACCATACATGCCCGGCGTGGCTCTCGATCTGAATAAGGCCTTCGCTGAAGCGCCGAGACAGCAACGGCCACAGTACAGCTACGAACCATCTTCTCAGCCCGAACCTGCTGCTGGCACTCCTCTTGAGGCGATTGCAGATGTCAGCACTCGGCCTCGGCGGAGTCCTAGAAAGCAGCCCCTGCAAAGCAGCTTGATGAAGCCTTTTGTGTCACCACTCATAAGTCAATCGCCCAGAGACAGAACATGGTTTGAGTTTCCACAGAATGCGGGCAGGTCTCGTGCCCGAGCACGAAATCGACAGCAAGAGGACTCCGACGGTCTGATTATGCAAGGCGAGCTCGGCGATTTGGACCAGCTACCACATCCGTTGACGCCTCCAAGACAGAACCGCGATATTCGAGAATTCGTAGGTCGCAGTAATGACAGCAATATTGCCGCCATGATTGAAAGCCGCAATTATGGCCGGACTACGAACGAGCAAAGTACACGCACGCAGCGAAAGGAGGACGCAGAGCAGGAGAACCTTGGAACAGCAGAGTCACGACCAGAACCAGAACAGCGCGGATTCATACCTGCTAGCGAGCTCGCTGGCTTCGGAGAACGAGTCGGCGCTTTCGAACAGCCAGAAAAACGCACAACGAAACGTCGTAAGACCAGTGAGCGTCGAGCACTTCGAGAAATGAGCACGAATGCTCACGCTGCCGAACCAGAACCAGATTTTATCAATCTTGCAGCAGAAGATGGAGATCGCCCGCCGACGAGCAGGAGACGCAAGAGTTCGAACAAGCTCGCGCGCACAAAGTCCTCGCGTCTGCCACTTGAGCGTATCCCGGCTGGACAAGGTACACATCATTTGATGTTACCTCTAACGACTGACTCGATCAAGACTTTGGCCGACAAGATTGATGACGCCTCCTTCCTTGGCTTCAATGAGCCAGCCCTTCCGGCACCAAAGGATCTGGATGCCGCGTCTTCGCATATTTTATCTTTGACGGCCAACTTGCACAAGTTACTTGTGACTGCTGGTGGTAATGTGGACGCGACAGGTCCTGGTGAGTTGCTGAAAGAGCTGAAAGCGGCTTTCGCTTCACGAAAGGATGTGTACGAAGAGGATGTCATGGCATTTTCACCATGATCGTGTACTTACCAACATCGCTCTTCTTACTGGCGCGGCGCGGGCGGGTGATTGCTTCTGATGATACCCAATTCGCTGGAACCAGGACTGCGAAAGCATCTCTTATCATGATAGATGTACAATTGCTACAAGTAGCTGATTACATCGAAAGTGATTTTCACGCATTCGTTGTCCATGGTTCTATCTATCTCTATTCCTTTCCTTTCTTACTAGCAGTCTCCTCATCCTCGGGACCATCTCCAGCATCAAAAGGATCTCGCTCCACAGCATCTTCTTCATCTGTAAACTCATCTCTATACCCAGTATCCAGATCATCCTCATAGACAGTGGTATGCAAGCTCATCATATCATCATCTCCCCTCTCCACCTCTCCATCATCAATATACTCTCCCGCACTACTATTCCTCCTCCTGGGTTGCCCCTCGTCAGCCGTCTCCAACTCCTTCGCCCTCGCCGCCGTCCTCGCATAAATCAAATACCCCGTCAAGCCCCCAACCACAATCCCAACAAGCGCACTCACATAACTCACAACTTTCGTCTTCGTATCCATCGAAGCCCCATTCTCCGCAATATCCCCTAATCGCGCGCCCACAAAAACATGCAACAACAACTTCGGACTCGCAATCGCCGTCGCAATCGCGAAATTGCGCCACGAAACCGTCGGAATCGTAGAAATGGCTCCATTCGCAAAAGAATACGGTAACGGACACAATCTTATCATCACCAAAAGTTTCAATCCATCGTGTTTCAACACCAGCGACAAAGCCGCGAAACGTTTATTCTTCTCCGTCATGCGACTCACGTATTTTTTCAAAACGGTTCGGCTGACGATGAAGGAGGTGGTCGAGCCGATCACCGTTGCGCTTGCCATGATGAACCAGCCTTGCATCCCGAAGACGAAGCCGGCGATTGTGACGCATGTGCTGTAGCCGATCATGGGTGGGAAGGAGACGAAGAATGCCATGACCCAGAGGATCAACCATCCGGCTGGGAGATTTCGCCATTTTTTCGCGGCGGGGGCGAAGTAGGCGAAGAATTTCTCGTTGTAGATTACTATGAGTAGGGTGATTGTCAGGGATGTGAGGCTGAAGAGGACGAGGAGAGATTTTTGGAGGAGCGTGAGTTTGGACCAGAGTCGTGATGCTTGACGGTTGTATTTCTCCGCGGTTTGTAGCCATCGGTCTTTTGTTGTGCGTGGGCGAGTGCTGCCGGAGTCGAGGGAGCGTCGCGACCATAGTGGACTGTTTATTCGGCGGGGGTGGGAGGTCGGGGTGATGGGCTCGTCGGAGGAGTCGTTGTAATCGAAGTCGGCGGCGAGCGCTCGCGCTGTGGAGTCGTAGTGCTCTGCGTCTCCCATTGCTCGAAGGAGATGCGGCTGCTAGGCAGCTATTGTGGGAGGACTATGCAGCAGGATAGTCGGGTGGTTAAAGAGCTGATGGTTGGTATGCGCTCCGGCTAGGCAGTAGGATTGGTTGTAGGATTGGTTGTAGGATGTTGGTAAGGATGCATTGGGAAGGTAGGACATAGTTCACACCGGATGTGTGAGGCTCATTGCTGACTTAAGATATGGTAACTAAGGCATGCGACGAGTCGTGCATCGTAATCGTAAAGTTGGGCGCAGCCTCATCGTGTCGCGCATAGGGCATCGTATCCAGGGTTCCGTCAGGACCGTCACACACTTCACGCCCGCTGATCGCGGGGTTTCTAGCCATACGTAAAATCGCACTTTGTTAGTAGACTATACGTAAAACTCGATAAATAGTAGTTTCCGGTCCTATTCGGATATCCAGTTATATATAGTATAAAACCGCGAGTCTAAATATTATATATATAACCGTATCTAAGTAGGTAGTAGTTATAGACCTCGCTGCCGCTATTTCCTTATATAATCGCTTAGCAGGCGCGTCTACCTCATTCTAAAACGCGTATTCCTCGTGCTCCCCCTGTTTCTCTTATTCCTTCTATTCTACTATACGTATTATATAGAAAATTCGGTATAGGGCGTAAGAAGGTCGAAAATGTAAAGAGGAGGATACGCGCCGAGCGGTTAACCGAGACAGAGAGGGCAGAGAGGGTAGTAGACCGCGTTATTGCGAAATACCGCGAGTTAGAGGCTATCTTATTAGTTAAAATTAGCCTTCGAGCGCTTTATAAGAGTAAGAAGGCAACTAACCTATATTTACATATATACTAGCGGATTAGGGGTCGTAGATTACTGCTAGATCGACCGGCAACTAATACTAAACTAGACTAGTCGCAGGAGCTAGCGCTAGCGGATTATTGTCGAGAAAGAGACGCAATAGGTATATTCTTACTAGTAGCGCTAATCGTTATAGTAGCGATAGATATACTAGCGAGTCTACTACTAGATTATATATTAAGAGACATAATCGCGCCGTTTAGAGTAGACTAGGCGGATAGGTTTCTTAAGCGCTATAGACTTAGCAAAGTTAAGTCTAAACCGATTAAGGTTTAGCGTAAGGAGGCTTACGACCCTTCTATAATAAGAGGCTAGTTTAACCGGTTTAAGGCGATATTATTGCGACTAAAGGTAAAGCCGCAGAACCTATAGAATTTCGATAAGACTAGTTTCCGAGTTAGAATTAGTAGCAACGAGTATATCGTTATAATAGACACTAAGCGCCGCGCCTAGACCGAGTATAATAGCAACCGGACGTATATAACCGTCGTCGAGACTATTAATGCCTATAGTGTAGTAATAGACTATTAGTTAATTATTAAGGCAGTAATAGTTTAAGAGAGGTAGATTCCTTCGTAAGGTTAGTCTCGTAGATTGCCTTAGGCAAGAATAACGTTACTGCTAGCAACGTTACCTACTAATAATAATAGGCAAAGACAACTTCTTAATTACTGTTAACGAGTCTAGCTATATAACAGATAATACTGCTATGTATTATATCCGCTAGTTTAAGCGTAAGATAAGGCCTAAGGATCTAAATAAATAGAGGGTGCTTCTATGCGACAATTACGGCTCTTACTGCTTTAAGGAATTCGCGGCCTTTACGAAGCGATATAGGATTCAATTATAGGGCCTATAACTATATACTTCGCACTTTATATAGCCTCTAGACGTTATATTATTCTAAGTATATAAGTTAAGGTATAGATAGGCGGTTTTAGAAGCTATATACCGTAGCGTTAGCGAGTTTAGTATACCTAAGTTTATAGAGGCGCTAGCATCTATTCGGGCGAAGACATTTACTAACTATAACGTATAGTCGGCATTCCGTAAGATAGGTATATTCCTAACGAATAGGGAGGTGCCTTGTAAGTATATTCGAGATTAGTATAGTACTATAGACTAGAATTAGAACTAGTAAGTAATTGAGGGCGAATTAGTATAGGAGGAAACCTAGTATATAGAATCGCTAGCGATAGCGGAGATTGCTTAGTAGGAATATATCGCCTCGGTCGAGTAAGGCTATTCCGCCGAGCCTACTATTATCGATCTAAATAGCCTATTTCGCGCTAATAATCGTTACTACCTAGGGGATCTCGAGAACATAATTGCTTAAGATATACCGTCGTTACCTCCTTAGCGAATCCGGACCCCTACCCCTGAATTGCCGTAATAGCTTCTAAATACTACGACTAGCCCTCGTACGATTAAGACGTCTCGTAGTACTATATAAGCTCGTAAGGACTTTCGACGCTCGTATCTAAAGCTAACCCTACTCGGTATCGACTATATATTTAACCTATTTTCCTCTTTACCTATAAAGGATACAAAGAGGGCATACGAGTTGTTAGTTAATATAGCTATTTATAAGGGCAAAGAATACAAGCGTAAATATTAGTCTATAAGTATCGTTAAACGCGTAAAGAAGCGATAGAAGGAGTAGCTAAATCGGCTTATAAGAGCAGGTGCTATCGAGGCCGATAAATTGCGCTCGCAACTTACCTAATAGGATAAGGACCTAGCTAATAACGACCGCCGGAAGATACTCTATAAGGTAGAGAATGCTTGTAATAAAGTACGCACCTATCGACTTAAGTATAGTAAAGCCTTCCGAGTAGTATTTAATAACAATAGCAAGACTAAGTAGATAGACGTTAAGCTCTAGTCTATCGATAAGCCGCTATAACGAGTCTTTAACCTACGACTTTTCGCTACCGATAACAACCTTATATTAAAGAAGACTAGCGATCCGTACGCTAACGTTATCTACTTCTATAGGCGGTATACTAATACTACCGAGAGCGGCGATATTACTTACACTTAGTTACTAATAAGCACGTTATTACTACTAACTCGTACCTACGACTATAAAGACGATATTATAGTATAGACCGTTAAGTCGAAGCGACGACTAAATAGCCTATTCGCGCAAGAACCTAACACTCGGTTAGACTAGCTACAATAAGACGAAGCGCTGCCTAATAAAGATACTATACACACCGCAATCTAGCCTTATTTAGTATCTCCTCGCCGCTGCTATAAGTCTATATAAAGCAAGCGCTACTTCTACGAGCCTCCGAAGAAATCTAGCCGTTATAATAGCGCTATTGCTAGTAGTAAGAACAACCTAATTAAGCTAGAAGAGGTAGATAGTATAGATAGTAGACATAATAGTAATAGGCTATTTACCTAGTAAGAAGAGGTAGCAGTTATATAATAGATATATAGGCCGACTAGTAAAGTAGTTGATTATATAGTAGACTCGAGGTTTGCTAAGAGGCCGGATTGAGGTCCTACGGTCGCAATTTAGTCGCTAATATACCGGAAATCTACTGTCTCTTAACCCTTATCGTACTTATATTTAGTTTCCTATCACATATGCTCTACAACATCGCCGTTATCGACTTTTACGTATAGCTTACTAGGAAAGTGCGATTTTACGTATAGTTTAATTCCCCGAGCTAGGGCGAGGGGTGAAGTAGGCTGACGCAACCCCGGATATTGGCACCAAACAACAACCGCAGCCAAGCATGAGATGAGGTCATTCAGTGGCTGGGATCGCACGTGCTCTGGCTAACGCGTGTGAATAAGTCGCGGTATATTTCAACCACAACACGTACATACAAAGCCCACTCATCATCAGACTCTCCTGCTTCTTCGTGTCGACCGCAACAATATCCAACCAGGCATTCCCATGCTATTGAGGAGTTGAAGAACTCCAATAGCACGGTCAGTACGATATCATCAGAGGTGTGGTGTTCTCTTCTTACTTATTTCTTGTCAAACTTCATTCTGCACGACCACCTCAAAATGCCCGTCAGTGCGATAGATTCCTTCCTTTTCAGAGATCTCTTCGGAACACAAGCAATCCGAGACATTTTCGAAGACCAGCAATACGTTCGATATTGTCTAGTAGTAGAAGCAGCGTTAGCTCGTGCACAGGCACAATGCGGTGTCATCCCAGAACAAGCAGCACGCGAAATCTCAAGAACTGCAGCCGAACTGGAACTAGACCACGATCGACTCGCCAAAGAAACAGAAATCGTAGGCTATCCCATCCTCCCTCTAGTCCGCCAGCTCTCAGCAGCATGTGGTGAAGAAGCCGGAGCATACGTGCACTGGGGAGCCACAACCCAAGACATCCAAGACACAGCATCAATGCTCCAGATAAAATCCGGTCTCGTCCTCATCGAAGAAAAACTCCGAACCATCATCAAAACCCTCTCCTCCCTATCCTCAAATCACAAAAACACCCCCATGCCAGGCCGAACCCATCTCCAACACGCCCTACCCGTGACTTTCGGCTACAAATGCGCCGTCTACCTCTCCTCCCTCCACCGCCACCTCGAACGCCTCGACCAACTCAAACCCCGCTGCCTCCTCGTCCAATTCGGCGGCGCAGCAGGAACCCTCGCATCTCTCGGCCCAGACCCCGAAACCTCACTATCCGTCCGCTCCTCTCTCGCCAAAATCCTAAATCTCAAAGATCCACATATAACCTGGCACAGCGCGCGCGACGGCATCGCAGAAATCCTCTCGTTCCTAGCGCTCGTGGGCGGAACGTTGGGAAAAATCGCCACAGATATGATTTTCATGTCCGCGAACGAAGTTTCGGAAATCAGGGAACCTTTCGTTCCTCACCGGGGAGCGAGTTCTACAATGCCTCAGAAACGGAACCCGATTTCTAGTGAGATCATCCTAGCTTCGGCGAAAATTTTAAGGAATACTGCGAGTCTGGGTTTCGATGCTATGCTGACGGATTTCGAGAGGGCGACGGGGCCTTGGCATTTGGAATGGGCTGCTGTGCCGGAAGCTTTTGTGGTTGCTGTGGGAGCTTTAGCGCAGACTGATTTTGCGCTTTCGGGACTTGTGGTTAATACTGATGCTATGAAGAGGAATTTGGAATCTACGCGCGGACTGATTGTGGCTGAGGCTGTGATGATGGAATTGGCGAAGTCGGTGGGGAGACAGAAGGCTCATGAGATTGTGTATGAGAGTTGTAAGGAGACGATTGAAGGGGAAGATGGCAAGAGGACGTTGTGTGATGTTTTGGTTGAGAAGGAGGAGGTTGTGAAGGTTTTGGAGAGGGAGAGGATTGAGGAGTTGTGTACGCCGACGAATTATTTGGGTGCAGCAGAGGCGATGGTTGAGCAGGTTTTGGCGTTGAATCAGAGGTTTGGGTTGTAGAATTGGAACATTTTGGGTATGGATAGAGTCTAGAGATACATATGTCATGATCATGGAATTCGTCTCTTTCGTGGTCTCTGACTGAGGGACTTCGACTCGACCTGCTTACGCTCGGTCCTGGTATGACGCATCCGAGTCAATGCTCTCCATTTTCCTATGCTGATGCTGCTGTGGCACGATGTCGTCCATCGTCTCATCAGTGAATCTCAAGTCATCTTCGAGTGAGACAGTATCACGGATCTTCCAGAACATCACTGGGGCAGCGATGACTAAGGATCCTGCAAGGAGGACCCAATTGCTGATGAACAGAGTCATATACTCTGGTGCATTGTCAAGACCATCCAATCGCCAGATGATGGCTGCTCCGGCTGACTGAATGCCTTTGTAGAAGCCGGCAAAATTCGCTAGCTTGCGGCCATTGTTTGTCATGGCACCCATGAACCTGTGATGTGTTAGTGCTGGACACATTGAATGTAGTGACGATGCTCACCAGTACACGCACGTCTGCCACGCAGCGTCGTAGAAGCCGTAGAAGATGTACAGGAACATAGGGCCAATATAGTCGCTGTCGGTCCAATCTCTTCTGCGCTCATCTGGAGTAGCCTTGACCTGAGCACGGGTGTAGCCCATTTGGAAGGCATACCCGCCGCCCCAGATCGCGAACGTTAGAACTAGAAGAGCTACCCATGCGAGAATTGCCCGCGTTGCTCTTCGAATCTTGTTGATATCGAGGGCAAATCCAAACATGCCTGAGCCGGCAATTTGTGCGAGCCAGTACAGGGTGTTGTTCAAAGACCTTGTTCGGATGTTGAATTGTGCAAGGTTGACATCGTTGAATTGATAGGTGTAGAACCAGTTACTCGCAAAGAACATGGGGAAAAGGCACAGGATATAGGGATCTGTAAAGATGGTCTCCCACAGCCCGAGCAATTCGGTCTTCCATGTTGGATTCTTCATGAGAATGACGCGAGAGCCATCCATCCTCACGACGTGCTTCGCATCGACAAGTGTCCAGGCCAGCAAGGCACCAGCAAAAGTCAAGCACAGGAAGCCGATGTAGGTTCCATCGCTCACTCTCTCACTTGAGGTGTTGTGAATATTCTGGGCCAAGGGCACAAGGCTACCAATCACGCCTCCAAGGTTGAAGATTGCCCAGAACCACGAGATGTATCGTCCTTTCGAGGCTTCGTTCGGGTAAGACATCATGATCTGACCTTGAGCGCTCCAGAGAACTCCCGCGCAACATCCTAAGAAGAATCCTGCGAATACAATATAGCCGTAGTTGAAAGTATGGTTGTAACAGAGATAGGCCGAGATGTAGACTGAGTATCCGATGCCACCGAAGCCCAGAGCAAACTTTATACCAAGGGTATTGGTGATGGTTCCGGCGAAGAAGCCGACGACTGCAAATGTGGCATACAGAGCGCTGTTGGAGTCAGAGCTTGCAGGAGACTGATCGAAGGCCTGACCACCGCCGCCTAAGCCATTGACGGCATTGAACATGCCTGTTTCTAGGTCAGTCGCGGTTCGTGAAATCATTAGACGCCAAGCCTACTGACCTGGGCATAGAAAGCAAATGAATGCCACGAGAACCAGCTGAAGCTGTGGAGAGGCATAATATGGCAGACCAAAGAACTGCTTGTACTTCCAGCCAAGCGGGATCAAGGCGTCGTCGCGCGGTGGCTCTCGTCCGCGTGGAGCAGTGTCGTGTGTTCTGAGCTGCAATGGCACCTTCTCTGGTTGATGAGCCATGGTCAGTAGAATAAGGCAATCGATGTCGTTGACTTTTGTGCAGCTGTGTGTGATGGGAATAAGATGAAGAGGACGATAGCGGTCAACAACAATGCTGGCTGAAAGTGAAGTACAACACGACCTCATCGCATGCTGTGCGAACGTTGAGCTGATCATGGATAGCGCTGCCCATAGCTCACAAGGCCCTGGCCTCCATGAGACTCAGGTACGTAAGGCAGCACAACGGCTGTGAGGGCTGCTGCCACCACATTGCTTGCGCCAGGACAATGCCGCCCGCGAGGGAGCTGAGATGTTCGGCGTCCAATCAATGAGCCGGCCTTACGCAAGGTCCAGGCGGGTGTGAAGCAAGGCGGCACCTTTGCCTGCTTCCGTGGAATGGAACATTAAGATTTCAGCCTTGCGGGCGCAGATGGAGAGCTCCATGTGCCAGGCATGCATGCTTGAGAGCTGTCAAGCCGTGCCGTATGTGCATTCAGACCAAGAATAAGTAGGACGAAGCTGTAGCTGCAGCTGTGTCTCTGCAAGGATCGCCGGGTGGCTGGACGGAAGCAGGGAATGGCAGAATGGTGCTCGACGATAAGCCAGTGATGTTGTGTAGCAGAGAGAGCATTGACGCCTAACGTTATGGACATGTGTTGTCGCCTACAAAATCCGTGGTGCAGATCCAACATGAAAGTCAGCCTCAGGGAACACAAGCCAAGACTCTGACAGCCACGTGATCTGCGGCTGTGATGGAACTAGCCTGATAGAGTCTAGTTCGATTGTGGTCAATGTTCTCACATGCCGTCCGCCTGCGGCAAGAGACAAGGTCCTGCATATGGATCAAGAATCGTTCTCAGACCCGCTCCATCAAAGAAATATGCTGACAGACCCCGGGATACTGCAGCAGCTTACTTTGCCATAGACGGGTCTGCTTCTGAAATACTGCAGACATTGCTGCATCGACTGGTCGCTCTCGTTTGACTTCACTTTGGCCCATCACTTGGGCAATCTTTGCCTGCAATGGATCCTATGTCAGCCGTCAACGATGTGCAGAACACGAAAGCCTTGGCGCATAAGCTGTACTGTCAATGTATGCCTCTCCTCCATATCACAGCTGTCAGAGCATGACGACTGACCGGATCCATCGACTAGGTCAGAGATCCACTAGTCCTTACCGACCATTAGCAAGAAGTGTTAGAATTCTGCGAAACAAGCTCGAAGAAGCTGATAATGTACTCAACGAAATCGCCCTCAGACCCGAGGAAATACGAGTGCTTTGTGCTGTCGATGCGAGCACCAACGTTCTGGATAAGCTGGATCAGCTTTTGCAAAGAGCAGACCTTCACACCATTGCACAGGACGACATTCCTATACACTAGTACGTGGATGCCTTTCCCAACTAGATAGATATAGCACTAAAGGAACTCTCTGACGCTATCGAGTCTCTCGAGCGTAGCACTAGCCGAATAGACATGCTATCGAATACTCTAATGCGCTCTTCTGTACAGCCAACGCCCGTCGATACACCCATATTTTTTGCAAGCACTCGTCATTCGCATATATCTGCGAGCCGTGATTTGCACGTTCGCTCTACAGGTCGGGAAGTTCAGCCTGGTCTGAACGATGTTCACAGGATGTCATCGAATACTTCCGACAGCTGGAGATCCCCGTTCGCATCGCCTGATCCCATGTCGATCGACATCGATGCGGCCTCTTCGATGATTCTCAGCGATATGCCAATCTTGCTGTCCAACAAGCAAGAGCGTGCTTCTCACCAAGCAAAGTCAACGCAATCCATCTCTCCACTAAATCAACAGGCGTCAACAAGGGCAAACGAAGCACCGGAAGCTGTATTGGCCCCTTTAGTGCGGACCAGTGTGGACGAGGTTCATGAAGCCAAGCAAACCGAGCTCCAACAATCACTAGCGATGTTCGTTGAAAATCCAATGCAGAGTAACGCAGAACAATCCACCACCTCTGCGGTCGAGAAGGACTCTTATGCAATACCTCTTCGTCGGCAAATATCTCACAAACGTGCTCAAGGTTGGCCGCCCCCTTCCACGAGCCATATGGAAACGCAGACACCAATATTCCGGCCTGGGAAGCATGCACCATCGTCCTCGCTTGTCGCCTCGCCAGTATCTGCAAGCAAGCAGCAGTCCACTCTTGGACGAGGAATATATCCTCGAGCCATACTGGAGTCATCGGCTAATGATAGTACTCATTCAAAATTCGGACAAAGGGACTCTGAGCTCATTACAACGAGCTTTCAACTGGGTCGAGAAAGCAATGATTCTCCAGGAATGGCCATTGCTCCGTCACAAGCTCCCTCAAGAACTTCCAGAGAGGCGCACGGATCGAGAGCCGGCCTGACTCAGATCCATCATGTTCCTCGTGCTGCGCCCAAATTAATTTCGGCCATCATACTGGCCTCGGAATATCCAGCATCACAAAACCTCAAATCATTACTGATCATAGCGGAAGCGGAAAATGCTCTCCACCGAACAACGATCGCTTGCCGTCTCCCTCACAGCAGCGTGCATCACAAGGACAAGTGATGACCAAAAGACCGGCCGCTCGATCACGGCCGTCAACGCGCAACTCAGATCTTGGATTCGAAATCGACAAAGAGGAAATAATAAAGGCTATCGTGAACTGTTGGAATGATGGTCGCTGGAACGAGGCCGACCTATGTATCAAATCTACCCTCAAGAAAATGCCGGTTCAAGCTGTACCTTGCACCATCACGAGACGGCTTCACCACCTCCGAGGAGTGATTCCCAGCTTGACTGGAGAATGGAACGAAGCGTTGACTAAATTCCTGTCCGTGCTGAAGACACCGCTGCGCGACTCAGCGCAGCTCGACGTGCCGCTGCGATATGGCTAGGCGATACTTATGCTGTTCTCGGTCGTAGCGCTGAAGCTCATCTATCCCACACGATTGCAGAGCAGGGCGCGATCTTCGACAGTGCCGACGCCTACCAGCTCCATCAACGCATTTCGGTGAGGAAAAATGGGAGCTTTATGTGATATATCTAGAACAACTAGTCTAGTCCCAACTCTCCACCGCCCTCTCAATAATCGGCCGTATAACCTTCCTCCCCGCATCCTCCCTCTCATGCCTCCACACCATCTGCCTCTTTCCCAACTCCCTCGCTCGATGCCAAGCTTTCGCCTTCAACGTCGGTTCCTTCTCAATCGCCTCACTCACAGTTTGGAAAAGCGCATCGGCCTGTACCTCATCAATCCTCACATCACTTCTCACCACAAGTACGATTTCTCGAATTTTGTGTTTCTTTCCAGTCTTCTTGTCTTTCACGTTGTACTTGTTGAGTGCGACGCTGATATCGGTGCCTTCTTGAGCCGTCCATGCGGCTTCGATGGCAAACCAGTCGAAAAGTTCTTCGAATTCTGTCTTGGCGATCTGCTCGTCTAAGGAATAAGGGATCGAAGAGAATCCCAGCATGACGGTGGGTGTGCGTGGGGATGGGGTGTCGACATAGTCTCCTTTCCAGTCTCGACGGAGGAGATCTCGGACGTTTAGATGATCAAGATCTTTTTTCGCGTCACTTAATTTTTCGTCGAGGTCGTGCATGGCCTTGTCGAGTTTGCGGCCAGACCAACGACTGCGTGCCAGAATGCGGGATGCGGTTTCGATGTCTTCGTCGGTGGTGTTTTCGTCTTCAAGACCTCCGGAGTCGATCGCGATGGCGCCGAGGATGAGTTCCAGCATTTCGTGGGGGAGGTGGTATTCTTCTGGAAGTTGCTCTAATTCATTGAGCATTTGGCGAGCTACGAGTGTAGTGCAGCTCGCCACTTTCTCAAAGACTCGCGGGTGGGCATCTTTTCCTGCGCCGGCGTCTTGATGATGGTCGAAGATGCTGAGGATTGGTGCCGAGCCCCATTTTCGTAATGGTTTTGGATGGTCGACAATTACGATGCCCTTCAAAACTCGGGCCAGAGTTTCCGGATCTTCAGGCAGTTCGTCCAGAGTCAGAAGATCCGAATGTCCAGTGCTCATCTTCGCATTTCGCAAAGCCAGCTTGTTCTCAGGTCGGAGATCGAGGGCATCCGTCGGAGTTTGTAGCAATGCTATAGCTTTGATCGGGTGGGACGTGTTCTGTGTTGAATGCTCGAGGTGGTAGGCCCAAGTAAGAGCAGCGATCATAGAATCCAGATCGCCTCCCTCGTTGCCTTGCACGATGGTCCATCCTGAGATGTTGCCCTCTTGCCAGTCGATGAGGAATTCTTTCTTGGTTGCTCGACTCCATTCGCTGAAATGGCCGACTCCTGTCTCGACTGCATTTGCTGCTTGGATTCGAGAAGGGTGAAGTGGAGCTTGTGCATCCTTCTGGTGCGTGGATGGAGCTGCATGCACCGACGTAAGGAGGAGCACTCCGGTGCTGATTCCGGCGAGAACATGCATACGCATAGCTTTCGATGTTATATCACGCGATGGTGGAGTGTAATGAATAAGTGAAGTGCTTCAGATGATATAGGTACCTACTGCCTCCGGAACCACGTTCTTGCATGTCGTGCGGTCCTTGGCTGGCGCCGACGATGCCTCGGAGTGATGTCAGCGGTTCAATAGACACCTTTTGCCGGCGGAAGGGGTGTTGTAGACTGCTTACTACTACCCTGCTTACTACTCTTAATATAGTATAGCGCTCTTGCCTTAGGCTCTTGCTAAGTTATCAAATCTTCTAAATTGCCCGTACGCGGCGCGTAGACGTATTCTTATCTCTTTCTCGTATTATTATCGCGATATATAGTCGTCGGTATAGCGGGTAACCTATTAGATAATATAACGTTAGTTGCTAGACTCGTACTCGCTATTTGCGAGGAAATAGGGCTTCTCGAGCGTACTAGGTTAAAGCCGCCGTCTATTCTATTTAGGCCGTTCGTATAAACGCTTAATATATAGCCGGATAAGTAGGTAGAGCGATATATAAGGTAAGTCGTATAGGAAGTGGATGTTAGTGTAGGAAGTTGGGTTATTAAAGCGAGGTTGCCGCCTTAATACTACTACTACTAGGTATATCCGCATATTAGCTTCTAGTATAGTACTAACTATTTCCTAGGTTTACGAAGGCAGAAATACGCTAACACTTAATGTAACTAATAATTGTATTTAGAAGAAGGGCTAATTATAGAAAGCCTAAAGATAAAGTATAGTAGTTATAGCCTTAGGCATTAGGCACGTAATAAACCCTAATACTATATACTCTAAGTTACCCTCTTAGTACGTATATATCGCTATAGAATAAAGGAAACACAATAGCTATTTAGTTAGCAAAGCAAACAAGGGGTATTAGGTAAGCAGGAACAACTAGACTAGGCTATTTAAACAAAGCAAACAAGAGCAAACAAGACCCTCCTTAGTACTTAGTAGCTAGCTTTATAGCGCTCTTAATAGTAGCCTTACAATCTACTAGGTTTAGTTGTTTAACAAAGCGGCTGTGCTTAATTTTATTAAGTAGCTTAGTAAAGCTATTAGCAATCTAATCGTGTATACTAACCTATTAAACGACAATAGAGCTATTAGCAATCTTCTCTCGGATATAGTAGATACGAGCATCTATATGCTTCGTACGGCTATTAATGCTAGTCGACTTAGTAATAGCGATAGCCGACTAATTGTCCTCGTAGAGCGTAACTAGAAAAATGTAGCCCTTATAGCCGATTTCCTTTAAGGAACGAGCTAAGGCAATCGCCTCCTTAGCGCCTATAGTAAGCTAGACATACTTAGCTTTAGTTAACGACAGTATAACAAGCGTCTAGCGTCTGGACTTATATAATAGAGGTCCGCCTATAATAGTAAAGTAGAATCCGCTAGTAGAACGTCGAGTAACTAGATTATTAGCCTACGAGGCGTTATAGTATCTAGCAAAGCTTAGCTTATCGTTCTATGTGCCTTAGAAACGCATACTACGACTAAGGGTACTAACTAGGTACTTAATTAGCTAAAGGAGTGCGGCATAATGTTCTTTAGTCGGGTTAGAGATAAATCGTAACAATAGGCCTATAGTATAGCAAGTATTAGGTCGTATAATTATAGCTAGCTATAGCGCCTCGCTAACACCTTCTTAATACTAAGTCTTAAAGGCGGCACTAGCTATATAGCCCTTAGGTGCGCGTTAAATAGACGTCTTAATATAGGGAGGTGCTATTAGAGTAGCTAGACCGATACGGCTACGTATACTATATTTCTTACTAAGCCTATTTAAATAGGCATCTTAAACGACGTAAATAGTACGCTAACCGCGGTTACGGATAATCCGTATACCGAGATAGTAGTATAGGTCGCCTAGTTCTCGTATATTAAAACGGTCCTTTAGTAACTAAGCAACGGCCTCTAGTGCTAATAGGCTATAGGCGATAATAATTATATCGTCGACGTAGATAACGATAATCGAGCCGCTAAGAACGTGTTTAAATATACACACGCTAGTTATTATTAGTATAAAGTCTAGGCTCTTTAAGTACTTCCGAAGCTCTTTATACTATAGTATTAGTAACTGCTTTAGACTATATAGTGCCTTTAGTAATAGGCAAACTATGCCCTTACTACTACGGTCCTTAAAGCTATATAGCTACTTAACGTAGATCTTATACTTGTCGCTAATTAGGGCATTAAGGAAGGCTATTAGAATGTCGTACTGCTTAGCTTCTAAGTTATAGTATACAATTAGGCTAAACAAGGCTCGAAGTATATACGGCTTAGCGACAGCCGTATAAGTCTCGTTATAATCCTGTCCTTTAACCTGTATAAAGCTACGGACGACCTAACGAGCCTTAAACCGGCTTACTTTGCTATTAGCGTCTCGCTTAATAGTAAAGACCTATCGGCTACGAACTACCTTACGACCTCTAGGCACTTCTAGCCGAGAAACGTGTACCTATATATAGTTGTCGATTAGTAACTTGTATTTAGCCTTATAGGCCTCTTTCTACTATAGCTAATATAGCGACTAAGTAGCCTCCTTGTAGCTCTTCGGAATAGGAATAGCTTCCTTAGGCTTATTAGACTGTTTAGCAATATAATAGGAAGCTATAAAACCCTTAATATAGGCTATCGGTATGTTAGCTATTATACGTCGAGTCGACCGCTTAATACTATAATCGGCTAGATAGCTACGCAACAGCTTACGAGCGCTCTTGTTGCTTCGTGTCTTGCGTATAGAACGACTACTAACGTTGTCTAGTCGCTTAAATTCAGGCAGCTAGCTAGGCTCGCCCTTCTTAGCGTTTAGATTATATACTAGCTCTTTCTCGGCTAACTAAAAGCTATCTTTATTACTTAAAGCTAGTAGTTGAACGTCTAGAAGGTCGTTATCGATAGGCAATAGACTAGCGACCTTATTAGCTATTTCCTATACAGGTCCTTATATAGGCTATTCTTCCTACTAAGCTAGAAGCCGCTAGACTATACTAGTAGCCTCGGTAGGCGACGGAGCCTTGTTGCTTATAGAATTGAACAAAGCCGGTATAATAGACTTAAGGGTAACAAACTCGTTCTTAGACAAGTCGTTAGTGTTAGTATATAGCTTTATGCTATCTAGAAGTAGGAGGTTAAGGTTACCCTCTAACTTAATAAACTAGACGTCCTTAGAAGCGATAACCTTATACTAATTAGGTAGGTAAATTATGTATTTTCTAGAGTCTATAGAGCCCTTAGCATAGCTAACTAGCTTGCTAACTAGGCCTCTGCTATCTATCTTCTTTCTACGAGCAACACTATAATCGTAGGCAATTAACGTATAGCTATACGCTCGAAGGTGCTAAAGACGCGGCTATATTCGTAGCTAATTAAGCTCCTTAGCGACAATAGTGTATAGGCTTCCTCCGTTAGCGGTTAGCGTAATATTAAGGACCTATATAGCGGAGGCAATAGTATATAGCTATAGGAACTTAGGAAGGTTAGCCTATAGCATTATCTTTCTCGTAGTCGTGTATACGATGTGATTACTAACCTTAGTAAGGCTATTCCAAGTCGAAGAGTAAGGTGCTATAACTTGTAGTATAATGCCCTAATTACGAGCCTAACTTAACAACTAATTTCCGCCGTATTTACCCCCTCTATCGAGTCGGTAGATCGGGATCGAGCAACTAGTCTATATACGGACGTATATACGATGTTCCTTAATAGCTACTATAGCCCCTAACTTAAGTAAGCTAGTATACTCGTAACGATAGCCTAACTTAGCGTATATAAACAGCGTAAAGTAGCGTTCCTATAATAGACTAGAGTTAGTAATAGTAACTACATCTATATAGACAATATAATAGATCGTAGATAGTTATACGCGCGGTAGCCGATTGTATTCCTTATATAATATAGCTATACGACAGGCAATGCAGTTGCGGAAGTCCTTCTTAGTACTAGTAATAACAATTTGACCCTTAGATTCTATTCTTAGCAGTTTGCGGTAATAAATATAGCTATATCGCAGATGCTATTTATCTATAGTGCCTATAGGCACCCCCTTCTTCGACAAAAGGGCAACTACCTTACTATCTAGACTAGAGGTTAGTATATAGAGGTAGGGGAGACTATTCTTATAGTACGTCTAAGCGATAGTAACCTTATTGCCCTCTACTATCGTAAACAGTACACGCTTATTATTACGGTAGAAACAACCCTTATCGGCAAGCTTCTTAGTAGATAGAAGGTTAGCTGCTAGACTAGGCATATATAGTGTATTAGACAACTTTATATTGCTTACACTACGCTTATTAACAACCTCTATCTAAGCTATACTAACTATCGTAGCGTGCTTCGTATTGCCTCTAAACCGGATAGGGATATAGCAGCCTTTATATTTAATAAGTAGCGAGGGGTCGTTAACTATATATATACTAGTACCTAAGTCGACAACCTAATTAGTAGTCCGAGTACTAGCAGTAAGAGCCGTAGATACCTAGTCGCTAATAGTAACTATAGTATTTGTAGTAAAGGCGTAATTGTCGCTTAGGCCTAATAACACCCCCGGGGTAGCATTAGCCGTATACAGCCCCTAAGTACTATTCTAACTAGATAGCGGCTGCTACTGTTGCTAAGCAGTTAGTCTACGCTACTGCTATTGCTGTACCCCCTTCTTCTTAGCCTTCTGCTATTTACAACGCAGTCGGTCTTCCTCCTTTAGGTAAGGGTACTTAGTATAGTAGCGGTTAGAAGGGTGTAATCCCTAATAATAGGCGCACTTCTTACGGTTAGACTAATAACTATTCTAGTTGCTTCTACCGCGGCCTCGACCGTTGTTATTGTTTCCGCGGCTACTACGACCGCTACGGTTCGAGTTACCTCGACTATTGCTATTACTATTGCTACCTTGCTATTGTAGTTAGCGTTAAAGACTAAAGAATCTACTATATTAGGCCTAGTTTAATTAAGCTACATTCTTATTAAGCAACGCGCTAATAATGTTATTAAAGGTGCTATTATTAATAGTGTATTCTAAGGCGCGCATCTGCTTACGGCGCATTTGTATAAAAGCCTCGTAGAATAGAGAGATCTATATAATAAATATATAGATAGCCTAATACTAGCTAATAGCTAACTTAGTATCCTTTAAGGCACTAAGCTTCTTTTTGTACTTGTTATAGAACTTCTTAACGTCCTTGCTATCGTAGCAAAGGGTAATATATTCCTAGTAGAGTATGAATTTAGTAGACCTACCTTTACTAGTATATTTCTTCTTAAGGAAGTCCTACACTTCCTAGGATATAGACAGACTAAGCAGTAATTGTTAAATGTTACTAACACAATTAGCAAAGATCTAGGTACGCGCCGTTTAATCTTTAGAGTCCTATTTATCTTAGCGGTCTTTAAACTCCTTAGAAGACTTACTAGAGGCCTTAGAAAGGGGTCGCTAGCGGGTGCCTTATATATAGCGCTAGACCGACATACCTTTAAGGGCGCCTTTAGCGGTATACGACTATAATAGGTAATTCTCCTTATTCTTTAGCTTAGGAATATTGCTTATATAAGCGCTAGAGGTTATAGGAGGAGCTATTGCGGACAGCGACGGCGATAATATAGAAAGAGACTATTATAGACTCGTCTTAAGAGGTGTAATAGGGGTTATATTAGCAGGTAGATAGGGTAGTAGTAGGTATAGGTAGTATTCGATAAGGAGCTAGGAGGAGAGGGAGGAAGGTAGGCAAGTTAGCCTATTACTAAGCGCTAAGCCCTACCTAAGGTACTAAGACCCTAGCTTTACTTAGCCTAGTTACATACCAATTACGTATAGCCTCTTTAGCCCTAATACACGCTTCCCTTCTAAAGGCCGCGCCCTCGTAGCCTATCTATATTCTACGACCTCTATTGCCGCTAACTTAGCAAGTCTAATAAGCTGCTTAGCCCGCGCTAAATTGAATACTTAACTACCTAATTATATAACTATATTAAACCTCACCTTCCGACACAATATCTAACTCTAACTGCGCTATTCCTATATATAATAACCTATAAAGTGATATATATCTATAAGAATTAAGGGCCTTCGACTAATTATAATACGAGCGCGTCTTTCTTGCTATAATAGGTAGACGTACGAGGTATTGTAGCCCTGCCTCCGTTCTAAGTAATGTCGTACCGAGTTCTTTGCGTCTACTCTTAAAAGACCTAGCAATGTCCGCTTCCGAGGGTTTGTCCGCTTCCGAGGGTTATTGTTCTTATTATTATAAGGACTATTATTTACTATCGTAGTTTTACTAGCCCTAATTGGTTAGGTTTGGCAGCCTTTAAGTATTAAACAATTATATCTTTTCAAAAAACTTAGTTCTTCTAGTTTCTATAGGTAAAGGCTATTATAAGTGCAATAGTTAAGGTTCGCTTCGCTTAAAGGGTCGGAAAGATCGAGGAGTAACCTATTGTCCGCAAGATCGACCTTAGCTAGCTTAGCTCTATAGTTTTTGCCCTTAGTTAGTCTATTAGTCGCTTAATCTTTTGAGCGGCTTAAAGTTTTAATTAAACCTTTAATATAGCTATTCTTTTAACTTAGTTAGTATAGTGCGCTTCCGGCCTTAGGTCGTAGTATAGGTAAGGTTGTCTTTGTAAGTGCAGTAGTAACAGTAGGTAATGTTAACAATAGCGGCGCTAGTCGTCTTAGTACTAACTTTACCTTCTTCTAATTTCCTTCTTTAACTAATAACAACTCGGCAATACTGTTACTAATATAGCTATGTCCTTCCTTTCTTAATTAGCAACATACTCCGCAATACTATTACTAATATAGCCGCGCCGGCTGCGCCGTCGTTATTATTATTATTACTATTTATGCGTAAGCGCGCCGCCCTCGCCGATCGCCTAGGCCTTAAGATCTCGATAGAAGGAAGGAATAAGAGGGGGACCTATAGGGCGCGTTAGTAAAGAGGTAGAGTCCTTAAAAGAGTAGGCGATTAGTTAACGCGTTATAGTGCGCTTGTTAACACTCGGTGCGCGTTTACTATAGTAGTATAGTCTTATTGTCCTAGTTTACCGGCCTCTAATTAGTTAGCTAATAACACCCCGGGGGTGCTATTAATCCTAGGCCTTAATAGTAACATTATAGGCCCTTAGCCTTCTTCTTATTCTTTATACTAGTCTAATACTTATCTAATAACTTAGTTATATCTTTAAAAGAAGCTTTAGCTTCCTACGAGTCCTATTTAGGTAAATAGCCTTACTATCTTAATAGGTACTCCTTCTTGCCTTTCCTAGTCCGGTGCTATAGGATACGTTCTATAGACTATAGCTCTTTACTATCCGCTAGTATGTCTTTGTATTTAGTAGGGGCTTTATCCCCCTCTCGTAGGTAATATAGCTTAAGGAGGGATATATAGAAGGTGTTATAGATAGTGTAATAAGGAGGAAGCTATAACTAATAGGCCTATACGGAGGAGCCCTTAACTTCTCGAATACGGAATAGACTAATGTATCTTAGTGCGAGCTTAGGCCTTGTTTTGCCGTTAGGTAATAGGTGCTTACGGATGCGGAGGTTCTTAGTACTTAGCATAACTATATCGCCTTGCTTAAAGGTTATCGGTATATAGTGTTTATTATAATAGGCCTTCTAATAGGTCTAGGCCTTTGCTAGTTTGTTAGCTATCTTAGCATAAATCTCTCGCATCTTTTAAACCCTCTTAATAGCTACTAGTGTCTTAGGTATTAGTACTTAACGCGCTTCCCTTTCCTTACGCTCGGCCTCGAGCGATAGGGGGTCTTATAGCATCGCAGCGTTCTAGCCTATTATAGCTATATATAGTAACACCTTAGTTAATAAGTAGACACTGTTATTATATACGAATTTAGCTAGTTATAGGAGGTCGACCTAGTCGTTAGGATTCTCGTTAATATAGCTACGCAGGTATTGCTATAGGGTAGCATTCTACCTCTCTGTTTAACCGTTAGTCTATAGGTAGAAGGCTATTAATAGCCGATGCTTTAGTCTTAGCTATAGGCATATTTCGCTCTAATAATAGGATATAAATATTAAGCCTCGGTTAGAGACTATCCCCTTAGGGGTTCCCTAATAGCTGTAGAAGATGTTATCCTATAGTAACTTAGCTAAGTTAATAGCCGTCTAGTCCTTTCAAGCGGGGATATAGCGAGCGCCCTTAGTAAACCGGTCTACGATAACTAGGATAGCATTATATATATCCTTACTGCCTCTACGCTTAGTAGGCGGAAGGCCTATAATAAAATCTATTATAAGCTTAGCAAATGGCTTCTTTAGAACAGGGAGTAAAGACAACTCGCTAAATAGTAAGTGTTTCGGTGCTTTAACTCGTTAATATACGGTATACGTAGTTACGTAGTCCTTTATGTCCCGCTTACTATTTAGCTAGTAGTATATACGCGATAGTAGCTCGTGCGACCTCTCTATACTATAGTAACTAGCAAGCTTACTATTATAGTGTCGCTTAAGAAGTTCTTGTCTAATCGATTGTTTAGCAGGGATATAGTATCTGCCCTTAAACCTTAAGTAACCTTTGTCGTCGATCGACTAATTACTCTTACTAGATCGGGTCTTTCGTTTACTTATAAGCTTATCGATACGTTTAGTAGTAAAGGCGTCCCTCTACTAAGCCCGTAATAGCTTATCTATAAACGATTAACTATCCCTATTTGTAAGGTTATTTAATAGTACCCTTGCTATTAAACGAGATACGTATTATATATATCTAATAGCACTAGTAGCCGGATTAACTATAGCAGTGCTTTGATCGCTATTACTGTATATAGCGATATCGACTAGGGAGTTATTATAACTTCTCCTATCTGTGTCCTTAATACGCACTGTTAATATAGTAAGAGTATTAATATGCTTCGAGCCGTCGCGGAGTCCGGTAAGCCGCTTATCCTACGCTTACTTATTAACGATACGGGCTATAGCAATCTTATACTATAGGGTTAGAAACAATAAATTGATAGATTGCTAAGTCTCGCTGTTATAATTAGGTCGCCTCGATAGGCTATTAGTAGGGTTACTTACGCCTAGCCGATATAATATATTAAAATCGAACCCGGCGAGGTAGACGGCCTATCTAGCCTATCGACCTATAACCCTAGTAACCTTTGTAATTCTACGGAGGTTGTTATAGTCCGTATAGACCTAAATAGGGTGCTAAGTACTATCGAGATAATAGCGCTAGTGCTTAAAGGCTTCTACGATTGCTAAGAGCTCTTACTCGTAGGTCTCGTAACGACGCTTAGCATTAATTATCTTCCTTAAGAAGAAGGCAATCGGGTGCTAGTAATTGTTATTAGCCTGTTATAATATAATAGCTAATATAGCAAACTATAAAGCGTTAGTCTCAATACGGATCTGCTTGCTTAGTACGAAATAGTACAATAAGGGGACTTTAGTAAAGCGCCTCTTTAAGCCGTTAAAAGCGGCTTATGCTCTATTAGTCTATTTAAACTCTCTAGTTAGGTTAGCCTTGGTTTTAGTAAGCTTAGTTAGGGGCATTATATGCCGTAAATAGCCCTTAATAAAGCGACGATAGAAATTAGCGAAGCCGAGGAACGACTATAGCTCCTTAATTAACGTAGGAACAGGCTATTTAGTAATAGTTTTAATCCGATTAGGATCAGCCTTAACACCCTTAGTTAATATAAGGAAGCCGAGGAATAATACCTCTTTAGTAGCAAAGGTGTATTTAGAAGGCTTGCAATATAAGCTATAGGCCCGTAGGCGGTCGAGTACCTTACGTATAGCGGCCTAATATTCCGCAATGTTAGGTAAGTGTATATAGACTAGGATATCGTCTAGATAGACTACGTAGAGGTAGTCTAATAGGCCTAATAGGGCCCGATTGATATAGGACTAGAAGGTCGTAGAGGCATTAGCTAGCCTAAATAGCATAACTAAATACTTAAAATAGCTATAACGAGTGCGGAAGGCTGTCTTCTGTTCGTTACCCTTACGAATACAGATACGATAGTACGCATCCTTAATATCTAGTATAGTATAGAAGTAGGCCCTAGAAAGGCGATCGAGGGTCTTATTAATAAGAGGGAGTAGACAGCGGTCTTTAATAGTAATAGCATTAAGCCTACGGTAATTAATATATAGGCGTAGGCTACTATCCTCCTTTAGAACAAACAGGATTAGTGCACTAGCAGGGCTGTTACTATACCGAATTCGACTATTAGCTAGGTTTTCCTCTAGGTACTTACGTAATATAGCAAGCTCTCGTTTACTAAGGTTATAGAGGGGACTAAAAGGAACCTCTTTGCCCTCTATAATATTAATCTTGTAATCCGTCTCTTTAAATATAAGCAATGTTAATGCTAAGTAGTGTTTAAACACATTAATATAGGTCTCTCGAATAGGCTCTAGTATATACTCGAGCTAATTAGGGTCTATACTATTAGGGGGCATAGGCTTATTATCGTCGCCTAATAGGTCGACTATTAGGTCGGCTAAGGTAGAGGCTAGTGTTAGGTTGCTAATAAACAGGACCCTAATATCGTTAGGACACTCGCTAATATTAATGTATTTAATGTCCTCTCTCCTAGGGATTCTAAATCGCTACTGTTAAAGGCCTAAGTCTATAACTATAGCATAGTGCTTAAGAATAGGGTTGCTAATAACAATAGTAGCTCCCCTATATAGGTTGTCTATATCTACCGCGTAGGCAGTAAAGTCTAGTAGGCGTTTATTTCCGAGGTCGTCCTTTAGAACTATAGGAATATAGTAGGCCCTATAGGTTAAGTACCGAGCGTTATTAAACTAAGCAAGGGTTGGCATATTAGTTCTAGGCAATTGTCGGAGGTCTAATTGCTTAACTAGGCGATAGCTAATAAGGGCACTAACTAAATTCCCTAGGTCTAGTATAACCTTAGTCTTATAGTTGTCTCTATATGTGTCCTATATAAGATAGGTGCGTATAATAGCTAGTATAATGTCGATAGTTTTACGCCGTATAAGGCTAATAGTTAGTACGGCGCTTACTCTTTTTTCGAAGGTTAGCCTATAGGGGTAGCGTTAGCCGCTAAGAGGTGCTTTCGGTGTTTAGCGGAAGCATAGTCAATTCGGGCCTAGTCCTTAGGTTTGTCGTATTAGCCTAGTAGATAGCTAGTACTATTATAATTGAAGCACTTCAATCCGGTTAGAACATTGCTATAGCTACTATTACTACTATTGTTAGTTAATCGATTAGTATTATAGGGATACGAGCCCCTTCTACGGCCCCTATTACGGCCTCCTCTATATAGCCGTCGGCTACGGCCCCTTCTACGGTCGTTATTACTGTTCCTATTGTTAGCATTGTTGTTCTAGTAGGAACCTTAGTTTCCTCCGCGGCTACGATAGGTAGCTAGGCGTATCTTAGATTCTAACCGTTATTAGAGCTAAATAGCTCGTTTAGCTGTCTCTACTTCGACTATAAATTAAATGCGTATAAGATTAGCCTGTTCGAATACACGGCGGCGGTCTAATTCAAGGACTAGTTCCTATCTTAGTTTAGGTCGTATCTTAGATATCTAGATAGAGTCGGTCTTAGGTAGCAAGTCGTCCTTAAGGGTCTTTAGATAGGCCTCGAAGGATCGAGAGGTTTAGTCGGCCTTTTGTTTAGTACGTAGGTATTAGTCTTAGGCGTGCTACTAGCGTAATATAGGGTTGCTAAGGGTGTTTAGTATAATAGTCTTGTAATCCTGCTATTAAACAGCGGTCTAATCGTAAAGGGAATCAAAATGGTTATCCTATATACGCTTAGGGTTACCGTTAATATACTATATAGCATAGACGACTAACGAATAGTCGTCTAGAAGGGCCCTCGGTACGTTTCGCTAGTTAAGCTTATAGTTACGAATATAGTCGTTATATTGCTTTCGACTAGAGCTATTAAATACGGTACAGTCCTTAAGTTTAGCATCCTTCTTCTAGACTAGGACTAATAGTAAGGAAGGCCCTACTATCGGCTTAGTGTTAGTTGTTAGGGCTCCCTAAAGGCGGCGAATTTCGAGGAGGTTGTCCTTTAGCTATTGTTCTTAACGTAGAGTAGCGAGCCTATTTTAGGTAGCTTCTTAAAGTCTCGCTACTAGCTAGGGGCTAAAGGCTAGTTAGCTATATCGTCGATTAACAATGTTGTTAAGTATATCGTTAATAGGCAACTCTAGGTCGTTACCTAGAACTATAGGTTCTTCGGTAGGCCTAGTAGTAGGCTCTTTAGTAGGCACCTTAGCAGGTGCTTTAGTAGGCACTTTAGTAGGTACTATGCTACTAGCGTTGTCGTTGCTAGCGCTACTAGCGGTAGCACGGTTGTTGTTGCTTCGTAATAAGCCGGCTATTATAAGGGGTAACACCGATAATGTATTATAGGCCCCTAAGATACGGATATAGCGGAATTAGTAGATATCGGCTTAGTGCGATTAATTCAGTGTAATAGGCCGTATAGAAGGCCTTGCTTAATGATTGGTACGGTTGTTTTAATAGAATAGTACGTATAAGTCCCGTTCTTCGGGCGCAATATAGTTAGATTAACGGTTTTCGGGGCTATACCGCTAAAAGCTTAAAATACGGACTATCTAGCTACTGCCCTTAAAGGGTAGATCGAATACTATATAATAGGGGTTATATTAGCAGGTAGATAGGGTAGTAGTAGGTATAGGTAGTATTCGATAAGGAGCTAGGAGGAGAGGGAGGAAGGCAGGCAAGTTAGCCTATTACTAAGCGCTAAGCCCTGCCTAAGGCACTAAGACCCTAGCTTTACTTAGCCTAGTTACATGCCAATTACGTATAGCCTCTTTAGCCCTAACAAGAGGCGGCCGATAGGCGCGTCTATGTTCTAGTATAGCGGATAGCTAATACTATTGTTAGGAACCGGTATAGCGGACAGCTAATACTAATAGTAACCGACTCGAGTCGGACTAGCACCTACTAGAATACTCGAGGGTGGCGGCGGCGATAGTATTAGTATCGGCGCAATTTTTAGTAACGAGCGCTAACTACGTAGCAGTCGGATTGACTATTAGAATACGTATAGAATGCGTTAGAAACGCAGGGGGCTTATAACTACTTAATATAACTAATAATTATATTTAGAAGAAGGGCTAATTATAGAAAGCCTAAAGATAAAGTGTAGCAGTTATAGCCTTAGGCATTAGGTACGTAATGAACCCTAATACTATATACTCTAAGTCTAACTAGTAGTCGCTTTAGATATTAAGGGTTGTGAATAGCGGAATAGCAATAAACCTAACCCGGAGCTAGTATTAGGACTCGTTCTATAGCGGATATCGTTTCTAAGTCGCTAGTTTAATACTTCTACTAAATTCGGCAAATGCGAGAGCTACTATAGCCTCGTATTTAACGATCTTGTTCTATAGATTTACAAGCAGTTTGCTAGCCTTATTGCCTAGCATCTACGACTTAATAGCTACCGGCGGTTAAAGATATTCGTACTAGCTACTTAGAAGCGTAGAACCTATAGTTTTATATAGGGATTTATCGATAGATACTTCTTAGGCTTCTATCGACCGTAGAAGAACTAACAGAGGTTATATAGTAGTTACTATAGTAAACACGGGTATAAATTCTAGGCTATTATTATACCGGATAGCCTAATATCTTTACTTGTTAGACTATTTAATAGACGAGATAACGACTAGCGAATATAGCAATTGTCGGGTATTAAACGTCGCCTATAAAGGATTATAAGAAATAGGCGTATTCTATATCTCTATAGTAACCTAGTATACTATAGCAACTTTGGCATTATAGCTCCTTATAAGCACTACCTTAGACGGTCTTATTTAACGCCTTAGCAATAGGCGTTTAATAAGAAGCTATCTAGTATCCGGATCGAGGTTAAGTACTTATTTAGCTATATAATAAAGCTATAGTCCTATAACGTATTCTTAAAGCAATTAAGGTTAAGATAATAGCCTATTAGAGCCTACTTTATAGTAGTAGCACTGCTAACTAACTGTTATATCTGTCTTCGTAGATATAACTAGACAAGTAAGCGATTTAGCTTTAATCCTCTAAATTTATAGGAGTACCTCTAGCGGCCGGAACTAGACTACTCGGACGATAATAGCGAGAGCTCGGAGGGCTTAAATTATTATAGTATAGGCGGCTTCTAAGCTTAATCGACTATTTCTAAAGTAGTCCGAGTACTACTAATAGAGGGGGTAGCCGATAGAGAGAGAACGGCTATATCTCGGAGGTTCGGCGTTCTCCGCTAAGCCTCCGTATATACTTCGAGCTAGATTTACCTACGCCCCTACCCCCCCTAAATAGTACTACTATATACTTGCTATATATAAACGCATTATATAAGGTTGTTTACCTAGTTAGTAGCTATAATAGTATATAGAAAGTTTATAATTTAGATAAGAATTAGTATTGTAATAGGCGCCGACGCTATAACCTAAATCTTACTCGAAGCTACTAATTAGGCTAATCGAAGAACGCTATTTCTAGGTCCGGAAACTCTAGGTCTACTACCGTATTATTAGTACCTCTACCCGTAAGAATACCCGGTATCGCTAGAGCTACGGAAGGATTGAATTATATACTCTACGCTAATAAAAGCGTCTTTAGTATACTATTAGTATTATCGCTAGTACTCTAGACCGAAGATACGGTTATAGATAATAAAGAGACCTCGTTCTTAACTATACTTAGCTCTACCTATACCTCCTTCTTAAAGGCCTCGAAGTCCTCTTATATCCTATTAATATCTTCTTCTATTACGAGCCTTCGTCGCTTTACTACCCTATTTTCTACGTCTACTTCTAGTTTATTAGAAGCGGCGTCTTCTCGTACTATATCTCGCTCTAACTTCTATACTATTATAGTAAACAACTCGCTAGCTTATAAGCGTATATTATAGTCTTATTATCTTAAGGTATCGTTAGAAGCTCTACCGCGAGACTTACCTTAAGTACGTCTACTTTATATAGCCGAGTCTCGTTGTTTACGGCCGCCGGATAGAGTTATAGAGCTACGAGAACCTAGTATTACTAGAGTTAATAACCGCCGAGAGGCTGTACGTAATACTAGTATAGTACTTCGACTAGTACTATTAGTACTATAGTTTAAATTTAGACCTTTAGTCGACGGTCTTCTACTTCTATTACGCGGCGGCGGTATAGCTATAAGGTCTCGTATACGTTAGCGCTCTCGTTCTATCTTTTTATTAACCTCTAGCTCTTCTTCCTCGTAACTAGGCGCGTCTTTATTATTATTTCTACCCTTACTAGTTATACTATTACTAGTACTAACCTCGTTACTACTATTATCCTACTCCGGGCCCTTATCTTTACTAATTACTAGACTATTAGGTATCTCCTACTACTTAATAAAGTACCGGTTAGCGTCCGGTATATACTACTTCTTCGACTATAAACTTAGTATATTATACTTATTACGATAGCTCGTAGCGGCGTCTATTTCTACCTAGCGCGCGATACCTATTACCTCTACCTTTACGGCCTCTTAAGCGACTCGTATTTCGTACTAGGTACGTATCTCCGCCTATATAGAACTAGGCTCGTCTTCTTCCTTACTAGTACCGTTACCGCTCTCTTTAACGTTAAATATAGGCTACTACTTATCTTCTAGCTTCTTTATTATACGGTCGAGCGATATATACTATATTTTAACGTTTAAATAGTATTTAGCCGTTATTAAGTCCTACTAGCTAGTAGTACTATACGAGGCCTCGAAGTTAGCCGCTATCCTTACTAAGGCGATCTTATTCTTCTTACTTTAACTACGCTTCTATCGCTTCGTCGCCGCCTCGATTACTACTTCCGATATATCGACCGCTCTACCTATATCGGTTATACGAGTACGAAGAATCGCTTTTACTACTACTATACGCCGCTCCGAGTTATTAGTCCGCCTAGTTCTACTCTTATCTTTTACCGAAAGCCTTAGTACCTCCGAAGACGCTATAGAAGCTCGGAAACTCGGTATTTACTACGAGAAGTTAGGTACGGTTAATAGCGCTCGAGAGGCCTATTTTAGCGGTATTATTTACTATAAAAGAAGGCTATAAGAAGGCTATAAAGAAGCGATAGAATAGCCTAATTCTACGCGCTATAGAAGACGCGATTTAGCCTTAGACGAGGTCTTAATAACCTTCTTATTTAGCAAACTATAACTACCGCTATACTAAATTCGACTGTTTATAAGACTAGTGCGCTATATACTATATATAGTATATAGCGCACTAGTATAGTAAGCAGAGTGCTTATGATAGGCGAAATTAGGAGTTGGCTAATCCTGAAGGTTATCAGGACCCCCGCTCAGGGAATAGCTTCGTCTCCTAGATCGGAAGCCTCCAGCTATTATGGCGTCGCATCAGGCCGACATATCCTGGTTTTTCCAGGAAATCACTCAGCAGGAATATGTCCCCGCCGGCGCATAACCGGTTTTCAAAATGCTCCGCCCACCTGACAGTATTCACAAAATCCGACGCCTCATTCCAGGGGTGCTGGTCCCCGGCAGGAACATAGACATACCGGGGGTTCCCC